TTTGGGGAGAATGAGATGTCTTACAATGTTGAATTCAGAATCGACAACAATCGGGTTACTCCCATAAGCGCTTCATCCCTAACTTCAGCGGCAAGTGAAGAGTTCCAATTCCGATGTTACCAGTACATGCCTGATTGTACCTCCATCTCGCCTTTCCATTAAGTGTTGGCCAGATCACCTGGTAACTCCCACAGCGCCATTCTCCTCAGACTGTAATGATCTATGTGTGCCTCTGCACTGTTCACTTGCTCCCAAAGGGCCCTGAAAACATCCAGCTTGTCATTCATTAGTTCCCCATCAAGTATTGCAGAACCAGCCAGTCTATCTGCCTGCTCATTTTCCAACACACCAGCATGACCTGGAGAAAATATCCAAAGGTCGCTAACTACCCTTGAGATGCCTTAGGAAAGCTGCCACTTTCATTATCTGAGACCCACTGAAAAGTGACATTAATAGACCCACTGTAGGAAAAGCAAACTGTGTCAAATACATTGTGAAGTGACATTTAGACCCACTGTAGGAAAAGCAAACTGTCAAATACATTGAAAAGTGACATTATTAGACACACTGTAGGAAAAGCAAACTGTGTCAAATACATTGAGTAGTGACAATATTAGACACACTGTAGGAAAAGCAAACTATGTCAAATACATTGAGTAGTGACAATATTAGACACACTGTAGGAAAAGCAAACTATGTCAAATACATTGAGTAGTGACAATATTAGACACACTGTAGGAAAAGCAAACTATGTCAAATACATTGAGTAGTGACAATATTAAACACACTGCAGGAAAAGCAAACTATGTCAAATACAAAGAGAACTGACATTATTTGACACTGTAGGAAAAGCAAACTGTGTCAAATACATTGAGAAGTGCCATTACTAGACACACTGCAGGAAAAGCAAACTGTGTCAAATACACTGAGAAGTGACATTATTAGACACACTGTAGGAAAAGCAAACTATCAAATTCATTGAAAAGCAGAAGGTCAAGTGGTTTAGAAGTTTTGTTAGAATGTAGCAACATCAGTTCCGATCACAAATCACAAGCACTATGTCTAAGAAAAGCTGATCTGAGACCAAAGGGAACCTAAGCAGAAAGACTGACAACAGCAACCATGACGTACATTAAGACCAAATGGTAATGGCCGGTACGTCTCATCAAGTACTGCAACACCATTTATTCCTTCCAATGATCTGGCATATCTAACAGTGGGACACTGATGTATATGTTGTGAGGATCTCAGCCCCTGTGGATGTGTCCAGAGCACCATGAGGATGACCCGACCCATAACTCATTTGATGGCAAAAGTAGAAAAATGAAGATGGTAATGATGACGGTGCAAGTATGACTGTTACAAGTCATGTGCTTCTGGCTCAAGCATATCAGTTGAGCAATATAAATAAGCAAATGCAGCACTGAAAGCTTTCATTAAATCTATTTACAAGTGACATACCATGTTCCTTCATAAAGTAGGCATCTCCTAAAACTGCAGCAATCCATAGTTCCTGAGAGTCCACATCAGCTCCCACAAACATGTAGCCTGGTGGGGACTGTATCATTGCTTTCAGCTCACTCCCTATTCTATCTTTCTGTACAAAGAAATTTATATAGTAAACATTCAATTTAATAAACTGACGAAGAGCATCTGTTCATGTTGAAAGCAAAATGAATTGAATGTTGAATTGAATGTATTTCTACTTCTTCTGTATTCTCCCATAACACTTTTGATACCATAGGACAGTTAAGTCAGTTTTAAACAGGCAAACACAAAATAAGTGAAACAAATATTGACTACAAGAACAGACAATAAAAATAACTCACATAAGCATTACTTGCTGTCAACCATGTGGGTTCTACTGCCCTTCTTGTGATGGTGCCTGCAGTGACAATTCGAGGCACTATAGCACCATAGAGCCCTTCAGGCTCATAGTCAGAATGTCTACATGAAATAAAAGGTACAGTAATACTTACAATGACTCACGAGCAACTGTGAGAAGATTCTTATTATGCATCCTATACGATTAACATAAACATATATAGTGATTACCATTGAATAATTGGAATGAACAGTGCAGAGGCGCAGATAGATCATTACGGACTAAGGAGAATGGAGCTGCGAGGATTAACCAGGGGATCTGGCTGATGCTCAACACTCAGGGGGAGGATGAGACGGATATACAATCAGATGGTTACTGGTACCATTAGAATTGGAACTTTTCGCTTGCTGCTGAAGATGGGGACTGAGCACTTATGGGAGTGTCCTGAGTGCTGTGATGTCGATTCTTAATTCAACATACATGGAGAGGGGAGCTAGAGAGTGAAGCTGAAAAGATAGAGAGAACAAACGACAGCGAAGAATAGAACAAAACTGGCGTGAGTTGGTTGAGGGCCTATGCTCTATTGGGGGTCAGAAAGGCAGAACAGAATGAAGAAACACTTATAATGACCCATAAGCAACTGTGAAATTATTCTTATTATGCATCCTATATGATTAACATATTACAGATTACCATTGAAAACATTGCAGATGATTTAGCAAACATGGCATCATAGGCTGGATTAAAAATCATTTATGAAAAGCTAAATTTTTTGAAGACATGACAGCAGATATCACACTGGAGACACACACAAAATTATTACATTAACAGATCAGTTTACCTATTTAGATAGCAACTTTGTTTGTCTTGGATGAAAATAATTATGACACATACACTGGCAATGCAACAGCAGCATGTAAAAAGCGAGAGCACAATATTACACTTTAAATTATGTGGCTTGAAAAACCACATTATGTGCTTTAAATTCTAACGTTATTTCAATTATAACATGTGATAGTGAAAGTTAGAGAACCACCTGAGAACACTGAACAACAGTTACATACATTCTAAAACAAATGCACAGGGAAATTAATAAACACTAAATGGAATGAATTCAAGAAGGGCGAAGAAATAAGAGAAATCTTTGGACAACGGCTAGTATCAACAGTTATAACAAAAAAAAGAAGAGAATATGTTGGGCACATAATGGGAAATGGACAGAGAATCACTTAGGCACTGAAATGGGAAAAAGATGTGACATAAAGATTCAAAAAAAAAAATGTATTCTGATTTGTAATTTTATCACATTCCATATGTGACATATGTTGTAGAATTTTTCTTATCACTTTCTGTTTGTGACATATGTTGCTGAAGGCTTTCTAGCTGCAATATTAATTTTGTCATTCATGATGACATTACTGTAAAGCTAACTTGTTCTACATCTCAAATAGACTGATATTTTTTCTGGTTAACCCCCCCCCCCCCCTATATATATATATATATATATATATATATATATATATATATATATATAGATATATATATATATATATATTATATATATATATATATATATATATATATATATATATATATATATATATATATATATATATATATAATATATATATATATATATATATATATATATATATATATATATATATCTATATATATATTATATATATATATATAATATATATATATATATATATATATATATATATAGTGGCGTCTGTGGCTAAGGCGTTGCGAGTCCGACTCGTGAGCCAGCATACCGCGATCGAAACCCACTGCAGGCTGCATGGATTTTTGTCGTGGTATGGGACGTCGCAGGTCGACCCAGCCTAAAATGGGTACCAGGATGGGCTGTCCTGGGAAAGTAAAGACAGCCGGCGTAATGCTGACCACATTACCCACAGAGTGCTGATGGTCTGTAAAAATATGGGACACTCTGCACATATGCCCGATGCGCCGAAAGGCGTGAAAAGGGATCTTTACTTTACTTTTATATATATATATATATATATATATATATATTATATATAATATATATATATCCTATATATATATATATAATATATATATAGCTATTATATATATATATATATATATATATATATATATATATATATATATATATATATAAAAGGATAATAGGCTCTGTGTTCTTTTATTCAATTTGTAACCCTTTGAAAATAAAGTTTCTTCGTTTGTTTGTTCGTTCGTTCGTTTATTCATACAAAGCCATTGCAATATGTAAGTGAAAACTGGAGTAACATTTTACCGTGTGATGTTTTTGTTCAGCTCTGACTTGTTAAGCCACACTGCCATCTGACCCCTAAAATATAAAATAACAAATCAGGTCTGCTAAATAATATTATTAGCTAAACATGAGAGGAGCTATCCAAAAGAAATACAACAACATCCAAACTTGAAGACATATTTTCATTTTACCATTTTGAGTCCTAGATAACTGCTTTACTAGACAGCTGTTTTAAGCCTTGAAAACACAGCAGTACCTCGCGAAACATCCTTAATCTATTCCAGATCCTTGGGCGTAAACCAAATGCATTTCCCCATAAGAAATTTTGGAAGCATGATTAATCCATTACCATAAAAAAAAAAATTCCTTTTGTTATTAATAGGGGGTCGCCGTGGTGGAGCAGCTAGACACTCGCCAGGAATCGGAAGGTCGTGGTTTTCCTCCGTGGCCGAGCCGTACTTTTTACAATAAGTTACCTTGGCTCCCAGGTCGACCCAGCCTTGAGTGGGTACCGGGTACAGTCCCGGGAAGTACAGGTGGCCAGCGTGATGCTGACCACATCACTTGAGCCGATTGGTTTATCAAAATATAGGTCTAGCCTTATATGCCCTATACGCCTTAAAGCATGGAAAAGGGTCGTTGACTTTTTTGTTATTAATATATTATACATTGATGGGGTTGCATAAAATAAATTTAAACACTGCCTATTACGAGAATACATAAATACAAAGCAATCAGATGAAATAAATGAAGATTCAACCACACTTTACCTTGCAGAGAAGAGTCCAGTGCCTACTAGGACGGGGCTGAGAAGGGAGGAGGAGAAGATATTATTGCTTGGAAGGAAAGCCCCCCTCCAACAAAATTTGTTTCTTTTCCTCCCTGAGCTGGTTTAGGGTCACAAGTTCTAGCATGTGATTTGTATTCTTAACAAAGGTTGTATACCAAGCATAATATTTTGCAACTAAACAGTATTTATGCCAAGTTGCACTTGTTAGAAAGCGGACCTATAGCTAGGTACTGCTGTTGTGCAGAAATAAGACAGAATGAGTAAATATAACAACCAGGAAGGAAGTGACTGCTGGGAAGGCTAATTTGGACATAATGTCTGACAAAGTTGAATGTGTCTGCTGAAAGGTGCAAATATGACAGCCATTGAAAATGATCCCAAAACAATTACATCCACAGTTGAAGGCAGAAGAAGAATAATTAACTGACATAGCTCAAGTATAGGATAGAGGAAAAATTCACACACACACACACACATATATAACATATAGATTAATCAGAAAATGTATGGCGAGTTTCACTAACAAATAATACGAAAGCCTAAAAAATGGTAGACCAGAACAAGATGGAAAGATAACATCAGAAAAACTCTACAAAAGCATGATGTGGCTATGGTCAAGGTGACCAGAAGAGCAAGAAGCAGGACCGTATATTTCCATCGACATCCAAAGCTGTAAAAGGGGAAGTAAAGAAGAAAGCCTTAAACTGATCACAGATCCTGTAATGACACATAACAACATAATCAAGAAATATCTTACATTATTCGTTTTTGGTTGTTCTTCCAGTATGAACACATCCTGCCGAGAATCAGAGCACGATCAGCATGGGCATCTGGACTAGCTGTCAAAGTTCCATCCTCAGCCCTGAGCAGGTAATCCCTGGCCAAAGGATTCCCAACTCGGTTGTGATCACCATCCTTTCAAAACAATGGGAACAACTTTATAACTAGCTAGCTAGCTAACTCAAACTCTCATGCACATTTATGTTTAATTTATGTTTATCTATATACACACACACATTACTATCACCTACACACATGTATGAATGTGTGTACCTGTGTGTGTGTGTGAGAGAGAGAGAGAAAGAGAGAGAGAAAGAGAGTGCTCATAATTCACATTTAAATTTTGTGTAATACAAAATAAACATGGTTAAAAAAAAACATGCTTACCAAAAATAAAAATTTTTTTTAATGAATGCTAATTGTACTGTATACTGCTTCTAATGTACACTATACTGCTCCAACAATAATGTGCAGCAGTTGTGTCTGCAGTGAAGGTAGCTGACTTCACTACCAAGGAAACTGGGGGTCTTCATGGTGAAGTGTTCAAGAGGTTTGCCATATGTTTCTGTGTTGTCTTGTCAGCAGTTACCATACCCATCAAACACACAGAAAGTCTAGAGTTCAAGCTCCCGCTGAAACTTTGCGGGTCTATGTGGTGAGTGGTCAAGCCATTTGCCTCGCGCTCTGAAGGTCATGGGTTTGTCTCACAGCTGTGTCATTCGGTACACAAATGCAATTTTTATGGAGATCACTGGGAATCATCAACCTAAGCTAGTGTTTGTGCTTTGTGCGACATTCTCAGCTGAAAACTAGCCATTCTGCGAACAAAGACCAAACCATATGGGATGAAACCCAGGGAGATTTAGTCGATCCTCTCGACTTTAATCCTTTTCTTTAGCCCTGCGTTACGAAGATTGCAGGATTGTCTTCACACTGCATCATTCAGTTCAAGAAGGCAGTTTATTCCCAGATCCCTGAGGAACATCACCACCGCTTTGGAATCAATGCTTTATATGACACCCTCAGCAGTTGACAAGCAATCAGTAAAGACAGATGACCTTTATGTGATAAATAACCTAGAGTAGTGCAAGTTTATCCTACAGCCTTTAATGTTTTGATACCAAACAACCTACTATTTATTTCTTAGTGATCATGTACAATATATTCCCTGTGTTATTATAGTGAAAACAAGAATAGACCCACTGCCTACCCAAAGCATGCCGTAAGAGTAGACTAATTGGGAGCTTATTTTGAAGTTGCCTGAGAGGCAAAGAACCAACAGTCTGCAAACAAATGAGTCAGATCTGTAAAACGGATGCACATGCAACACTCAGGTTTTGGAGCGGGACTGCAGTCCAGAAGTGGATGAACAACCAGAACTTTCCGCCAGAGTTTACAGCTGGTGAAAGCAACAAAGAAGAAACAGATGAACATTATATGATGTTACTGATGTACAAACAAACAATATGACCCAACAGAAATTTTAAATGACAAGACAGGAACGACAAAAGGTCCTAGAGAGATAGCGTCAACATTTCAACGATGTACTTAACTTACAATCAGAGGAACATTCCACAGCCCAAGAAAACAACAGTTGCACAAATGAAAATTTAGAATCAAGCATAACACTAGCAGAAATGAGAAAAGCTGTAAAAGAGGCGCCTCCCAACAAATTACCAGGCCCTGACGATATATATGAACTGCTGAACTACTTAAAGCAATATAAGAGGTAGGCATAAAATGAATGAATGTTCAACTTAATCTGGACAACACAAGAGTCACGGAAAAACTGGAAAAATAATAGTACCCATGTGGAAGAAGAAAGGCAGCAAGAGAGACTGAGAAGTATAGAGGAATTTGGGATTTTGTAAGAACAGAAGCTGTGTACTGATGTGATATTCACATTCTGACAATTAGTAGAAAGGACGGTAGAATTCGATAAAGAATTACATGTCACATTTGTAAACTAAGATAAAGCTTTCCATCTAGTTAATAGGAATAAATTATGGAAGGTACTTCAGGATTAATGAGTAAACAAACACCTTTTCAAATTGTGCAAGAGTTTATAAGTGAACAGTCAATGTGCAGTTAGAACAAATACAGGAATGTCAGAAAAGTTCTACGTTAGATCCGGTGTGGGACATGAGTGTTTTCTATCGCCACTAATGTTCCTCACATACATCAACCAAATTTGGAAATTAGCCAACATCAGCAAAGGGAACAACATCAAAGAATTACTAAATATATTGTTTTTCGACAATAACCAGGCAATAATAGCACAAACAGCAGCACAACTACAAGAACATATTAATAGACTCCACTCAGATTGCGACAAATATGATATGAAGATCAACATAGACAAACACTCCCATAATTGCTCAGTCCCCATCTTCAGCAGCAAGCGAAGAGTTCCAATTCCGATTGTACCAGTAACGATCTGATAGTATATCCATCTCATCCTTCCCCTGAGTGTTCAGCGTCAGCCAGATCCCCTGGTAACCCCTCGCAGCGTCATTCTCCTCAGACCGTAATGATCTATCCATGCCTCTGCACTGTTCAATCACTACCAAAGTGCCCTCACAATATCTAACTTGTCATAAATCAGTTCACCACCAAGTGGTGAACAGGCCAGTCTATCTGCCTGTTCACATGAATGGAGGAATAAACTGTAAGCTCTATGCAACATACAGCACAAAGGGAAAATGTCATATTTTCATCCAACTTCTGCATGTATTTGTTGCACGGGTTAGCCTTCCCTGTTAGTTTCATGGGGACACTGCAGTCTCACTGCAGTGCGGTCATCTTTGTTTCCTAGGTCACGGGTAGTGCCACCCATCAGGCTGGTACAGAGCAGCCACATAATGCTGGTCAGCCTTCAGGAGAAAGCAGTGGCAGAACATGAGCATTTTACACCTCCAAGGAGGTTTCCATAAATGCAGAGCAAATATATAGTGCTCTGGTACTGGGCTGACCCAAGGAATCATCGCGTCCTGCTCATGACTGTTTAGACTCACTTTTGTTTATCGAGCCTGCCACTCATCACAGGTTGCGCCTTTAGAAGTCAGTTTCCCATGTGGGTTTTGGGGTCCCATTGTGGGGATGGGAGACTTATGGGAGTTTTCTAAGTGGTATGGCATGGTATGATTCTTAATCCAAACTGACTATAAAACTCTAAAAAATGTGACCAATAATGAAAAATTCTACAAATGGTATGTCATTAGTTGGTTAAGGAGCTTTACCTCTTAAGGGGGATGAAGTCAAAAACGTAGATGAAGGAAAAAAATGTATTTATGTGGTATGCACATCACATACATATGGGTAAAAGCACAGTGGCCTTTGCACGTCTGACCATCCATCTAACAAAATTTACAGGCAGAAAAAGTGAACAACAAGAAGAAAATGATATATTTTAGCTATCAATAAAATAAAGAATAAATATTGATAATCATGTTTTGAAGAATAAGAATTTTACATATGAAACTATAAACATATCTGTGACTTCACACACTAAAGAAATATCTTCTTCTGCATGCGCCTTGAAAGATTGGTTGGCATGTTTTAGTTTACAGCTAGGCTGTGATGCACCTTTCAGACCAACACATCTGACTGCCCTACATTCGTCACCTTAACAATATGCTTCCCAATTTTCTCCAGGTCATGCCGGTGTGTTGGGAAATGAGCAGGTATATAGACTGGCTGGTTCTGCACCACTTGGTGGTAAACTGATGTATGGCAAGCTGGATGTTGTGAGGGCCCTTTGGGAGCGAGTGAACAGACCCAGGAACAGACAGATCATTATGGTCTGGGGAGAATGGCAGTGCGAGGAGCTACAAGGGTATCTGGCCGACGCTCGCCACTCAGGAGAGACGGATTTACAATCAGACAGTTACTTGTACCATTGGATATTTAACTCTTCGCTTGCTGCTGAAGATGGGGACGGAGTGCTTATAGGGGTGTCCCGAGTGCTGTGATGTCGATTCTTAATTCAACATTATGCTTGATTGGGGTGAGAAGCAGTGGTTGTCCCCCCCCCCCCCCCCCCCCCCCCCCCCCCCCCCCCCCCCCCCCCCAAATGGAGTCCTGGAATCTACACAGGGAAAGCATCAAAGGAAGATGCACACATAATTATTTCGTAAAAAATGTTACCTTGTGTGGAATTTTATAAAAGCGAACACCTGGTATTCCAACATCATATGGACCAACACCAATATGTTCTGGAATTCTTCTCTGAAAATATGAAACAATAATGCATACAAAGTAATTTATAAAAGAATATTCTTCTTCTTTAGTATTCCCAGCCCTCGAAGTTCACTGCTACAGATAATCACCCACTTCTATTCACACTGACTGTAAGCATTAGGATTCCACCCACTCCCATCTCTCTCACATCCCTCTTTGCCAGACAGAATGACTGTGAGCATTAGTATTTCCCACCATTCATATACTGTAAACATTAGGACTTCTCACCTCTCATGTACTTAGAAGATGCCTACAATAAAGTACCATACAAATATTTAATGCAATTACTGCTTAAACTAGAAGTCAATCCTATTCTGATCCGCTGGATTGCTGCGATCCTGTTCCAGAGAAAGATTGTACTAAGATGTGGTAGCTGGTCCTCAGAACCGCAAACGATATGTCCAGGCTTGCCACAGGGATCACCGCTATCACCAGTCTTATTCAACGTTTATACGGTGATGATCACTGAGCAGCAGTTGAATGGAAAAGGAAGGACTTTGTCATTTGCTGATGACATTTTGATTTATCGACGAGGGCGTGATAGACAGGAGATCGCCAGCACAATGCACAAAGAACTCGATCGAATTGCCGCCTGGTGTGATGGTTCCAATGCCTATGTCAATCCTTCGAAGGCATCAGTGTCATGGTTCTCTTTGAACAATCACATTGTCAAGTCGGACTTACCAGAAGTGAAAATGCGTGATAATATATTGATCAGAACCAACGTTATGACGTTTCTCGGGGTGAGGTTCGATCGCAGCTTGTCATTCAGGGAACACGTTGACCATGTGATAACAAAAGCACGCAAAGGTCTATCTGCAATGAGGATTATGGCTGCTTCCAATATCGAGCAAAGACTACTAATACTTCTATTCTACGGTCTGGTCCTTTCACCCATTGAATACGCTCTGGCCATCCTCACTGTCAGTGCTACCCAGATTGAAAGACTCGAAAAGGTGCAAAATGAAGCCATGCGCATTATTTTGGGATGTACAAGAGACACATCCTGTGAAGCAATGAGGTATCTACTTGACTTTCCAACAATGAACCAAAGGATCAGAATGTGGAGGGCTCGGGCATACCTCAAAATATGTGCTGATAAGAAACACCCACTGCATCAAGCGCTTTTTAGTGAAAAGGGCGACAGACTGAAGAGGGGAAAATCGTGGCTAGGTCGGGCAGAAGATGTTATTAGGCAAATATGCAGCCTAACCGACATCATACCTGGTGCAGAATGGATACCTGTGCCTCAGGCGTTTATTTGTACATTTTCCTGTATTGTCACACTCAACAGGCGATGTAGAGAAGAGAATCCTGTAGCTGTTAATGCAGAGGTCAACGTTCTCATCGGTGAAAATTCAGACGAAGCAGATGCACTAATCTACACAGACGGATCCGTTATACGCCAAAGAAGAAGCGCATGGGCATTTACAGCACGCTCAGCGGGCAGAACAGTCAAAGAAGCCAACGGTGCCTTCTCCATGACAACCAGCAGCATGACGATGGAGGTGATGGCAGTGACGCAAGCGTGTGCCTGGCTTGAAACACAAAAATACACCTGCATATGTATACTCAGTGATTCAATGAGTATGATCCGGAGGGTTCAGGCAGGTTCAGTGCGAAGACAATGGCTTGAATCATTACAGAAGTCCACTGTGCGTGGAGTCACCTTTATTTTTGTTCCGGGATACGCAGGCGTCGATGGAAATGAAAGAGCTGACAGGTTGGCTGGATCCGCTATCACTACCGACGGTCGGCCTATGGATCATGCTGATATTATCAATGCCCTCAGAGAAATGGGAAGGATAGAGGACTTTGGTGGCAGTGAATCCACATCACTCGCCAGAATGGCAGACTTGGGAATTAAGATCGGCACAGCAAAAAACGAGACGCACACCGGACACGTCAGAAGACTTGTTAATCAACATAGAACTGGTACTATTAGCCATCGGACGTTGGGGTTCATACTGAGGGGAGGATCTGAGCACCTATGGACATGTCCGGAGTGCAATGACGATAACCCAACTAACTAACTAACTAACTAACTAACTAACCTCTCATGTACTATAAGCATTAAGATTTCCCACCACTCATATACTGTAAGCATTTTTTTTTCCAACTCTCATATACTGTAGGTCGGCTCTGTGTCTAAGTCCATGCGAACGCTCCGTAATGCCGGGTTCGATTCCAACTGTGGGCCATGCGCCTTGCGTTGGTTTTGACAGTGGTATCAAGAAGCCGACCATCCAGAAAGGAATGGCAAACTACTGGACGTAAATTTGCCTAGAAAAACCACAAAACAGCCAGGGGCTGCTGGCGTTGGTTCTGCAACATCCTGTACAAGATACGCAACTAACCATATACTGTAAGCATTAGGAATTCATATCTCTCAATTCTGTAAGCATTAGGATTTCCGACCTTTCCATAATCTTGAAGCCAAAAATTCCACACAGTCATTGTCTTGAGCTACTAACAAGGCTTGTGCATCAGTTCAAGTAAATCCTTGCAAGAATGTATGCTGTGCTCATTGAAGACAGAAACACAATCTGAAGTAGTCATTCTTTAAAATTAGTAACTATGGAAATGAAATGACTGGGAAAAGCTGCAGATTAGTTAGTTAGTTGTGTTATCATCACTGCACTCCGGACATGTCCATAGGTGCTCAGATCCTCCCCTCATTAGGAACCCTAACGTCGGATGGCTAATAGTACCAGTTCTATGTTGATTAACAAGTCTTCTGGCGTGTCTGGTGTGCGTCTCGTTTTTTGCTATGCCGATCTTAATTCCCAAGTCTGCCATTCTGGCGAGTGATGGGGATTCACTGCCACCAAAGTCCTCTATCCTTCCCATTTCTCTGAGGGCATTAATAATATCAGCATGATGCATAGGCTGACCGTCGGTAGTGATAGCGGATCCAGCCAACCTGTCAGCTCTTTCATTTCCATCGACGTCCCGGAACAAAAATAAAGGTTAAAAAATAAAAATAAAACAAAAAAATAAAAGCTGCAGAATGACCAGGAATGAAGTCCTAAAATAAAATGTCAGTATAGAACCAATATTAAACTACAGTAGAATCTTTATAAGCTGACCACCCAAGTAACTTAAGGAAACTTATGAGGGTGGTCAACATACAGAATGAGGCCTAGTGTACTGATACTACACTTCCCTGAACAACTTTTACCGGAGAATATATGAGATCATGATCATACATAACCACAGATTCAACATCTGTTTCATATGGTTTTATAGACAGATGATGAGAATACCCTGGAGAGATAAAAAAAATGAATAATGAAGATGTCTTGAAAGAAACTGACTCATGAAGACAACTGACTGCCCACACCAGAAGAAGACAAATCTACAATTCTTTGGCCAAGTCAGGAGAAGGAGAAAACTGGAGTACATCGTGACAGTGGGAAAGATGGAGGGGGAAAGAGCAAGACCGAGACAGAAGATGATGGACAGTTTGACACCATGGCATGAAATATCATCAGTGTCAGAAGTGACTAAAACTACATGAGACAGAAGGTGGATAAACATGACTATCAATGCCACATGGCATGGTCTATAAGGAGGAGTTTCCCATTTACAGTTAACTAGTTAACTAATTCTAAAGAAGAGTAGTATCACACAGACAAAAACCTTAAACTTTAGAAAGAAATCCTTTATTTCAGTTACAAAGTTTATAAATTATAATTAGTTCTTTAATACGACTATTAAAAAAATATATAAATATATAGAGTCTGTGGAGATCTGAGAAAAAAAGAAGGGTTCCCAGGTTTTTTTTGTAACTATCTAACAAGAAGAGAACAGGCCACCATCTTCAGACTCAGAACACAACACACTCCAATTAGTGGACATCTAAACAGAGTACAACCACAACACTCCCCAGAGTGCCAGCTATATAACTACCACTATGAAACTGTTGACTACCATCTCTTTGAGTGTCCAAAACTCTGCGAGACTAGAAGAATGCTACTCCCTCTGAGACCAGACAAGTGGAAAACCTTGTATGGAGGAAAAGAACAGCTTGTGAAAACATGCAAATTTCACTACATGGCATTGGGTCAGAGAGCGAAAGCTCATGCGCCGCTGGATTGATAACAATAACAGGTTTTTTGATTAACTAATTGGAAGGTGTACTTTCACCTGATTTGTTTTCAATATACAGTGAATATATTATGAGATCTTTAATTGATATGACCGGAATCGTGGTTGGTGGGCACAATATAAACAATTTACATTATGCTGATGACACAGTCTTGATAGCAACAAGTCAGAAAGAATTACAGGAAATGATAGACATTGTGGTGTTAGAAAGTGGAAGAATGGGCCTCAGTTTGAATAATGGGAAGACAGAAGTAATGGTGGTATCAAAGAAACAAATTATTCCTAAATGTGTAATAAAAGTCAATGGTGTTATTTTAAGACAAGTACAGAAATTTAAGTATCTGGGCACATGGATAACATCAGATGGAAGATGCATAACTCAAATAAGAAACAGAATTGGACAGGCAAAAACTGCATTTTATAAAATGAGAAACATCTTGTGCAATATATCCTTGTCATTGAGAGTTAGAAAAAGAATTCTTGCTTGCTACATACATCCAGTTTTAACATATGGATGTGAATCCTGGACAATCGGTAGGCAGGCCAAACAATTTTTAGAGGCCTCAGAGATGTGGTTTTACAGAAGAATGCTTAGAATACCTTGGACAGCCAAAAAGAGCAACCAAGAGGTTTTAAAAGAGGCGGGAGCCCGAAGACAACTTATCACTGACATCAGAAGGAGACAGTCATCATTTTTCGGCCATGTTATGAGAAGAGGGAAAATAGAACATGTTGTGACCACTGGAAAGATCTGTGGAAGAAGGGATAGAGGAAGACAACGAGAGAAGATGCTTGACAGTCTTGTTGCATGGCATGGAGGTGTATCGGCACACGAACTGATACATGCTGCAGGAGATCGCGGATTATGGAGAGGCATGATCGCCCATGCCAGTCGGCAAGGCACCTGATGATGAACTGGAACTGGTGCTGCAAAAAACAAGCTTGCAAAATCCAACGAATCGTTAACAAGTCTATAAAGTGCTTGATATGAGTTGGTGAGAGCCTATGCTCCACTGGGAGATCATAGACAAAAGCAGATTAACATTTTAACAATGAACACAGTTAAATGCACATCTTCCTGTTTTTCACTCTTGCAGGTGAAAAATACTAGTTACCAGTTTCTTATTTTTTGCTGCTTCCAAAAGTGGCAATTTTTCTTCCAGTTCCATGGCTCGTGCATCAAAATCTCTCCCAAGCAAGTCCATTGCATCAGGTGATCCCACTTCACCATTGTTACCATTCAAAGAGCAATTCTTGGGGGGTTTACTGTTTTGAACAAATGACAGGAATGCTCTGTGAACAAACAAACAAAAAATGTATTGTTTATTGTTCAATGTAAAGATCTTCTTCTACACACATGATCATAAGTGCTCGGATCTCCTCCTGAGTATGTCTCTAGGTGTTTTTAGGCTTAAAACTCCCATTCTGTTTTGGTTGATGTAACGACTGGTGGCTCCTGCATGGTTTTCCTGTCTTGCAGCTCCAATTGATACACCCAGGGTATGCAGTCTATTCAGTGAAAAATCATTTTCCATGAAACTGAAAGCCTCACAGTGTTAGTCTCTCATTTGGCATAAATAGTTGCACTGCCAGTCAGAGCATCTGCTCTCTCACTGCCTTTCACACTAGCATACTCTGGGACAAAAATTAGGTGATTTTGCTAAACATTGCGTGCTGTATCAGATGGAACCACTGTTTCCCTATGTACCTCACCTTGATCTTCTGAGTCACTGAGCAACATGCATTGGTAAACTCCCGAGTTTCCAGCCATTCTAGGGCCTTTGTCACAGCCACGACCTCCACTGCCATGCTGGTGGTGGTAGAATTAAAGAAGCCACTGTCTTCTTTGATGGCTTTTCATTTGCTTCTTGCCACAAAAGCCCACGCACTTCACTTCTGACGAATCACATTTATATATAACAGCATCTTCCGGTGATGTGTGTTCATCCACCAATGCATTCATTTCTGCATCAAGCATTGGTGGCACCAAATCTGCCACTGTCTTGTCAGGCTGATAACCACCACGAATTACTGCTTGTATTCATTTGCTATGGGTATCCATTCCTCTGGGAGTCGCCGTGGCAGAGCGGCTAGACGCGTGCCGCGGATCGGAAGGTCGTGGGTTTCGCTCCCTGGCGGAGACGTACTTTTCTTAAAAAATGACCTTGGCTCCCAGGTTGACCCAGCCTTGAGTGGGTACCGGGTGCAATCCCGGGAAGTAGAGGCGGCCGGCGTGTTGCTGACCACATCACCCATCTTGTGCCGTTGGTCTATAAAAATATAGGTCTAGCCCTATATGCCCTATACGCCTAAAGGCGTGGAAAGGGTCCTTTACTTTTATCCATTCCTCTCCACAGTTTGTCTTGAAGGGAAATACCCCTCTGAATTCTGTTGCCTTTATGTTTATTCAGTTCATCATGCAATTGGTGTGTAAAGACCTCAGTGATCTGGAGGCAGGCACAAGCTTGATGCATTTTTAACCAGCTGTTTATATCTGGAAGATCTAGTATGTATCGCACTGCTCTACACTATGTGTCTTTGATGCAGCCAAGTATGAGGCACATTTCTTCATTTTGTACCTTTTCCAGTCTGTTGATTGTGTCTTGCTGAGGATCAGGATTGCTAGTGCCCAAAATAAAAGTAGTACGATTTCAGGTTGTACATTCAAATATATTGATTAAAACATCGTTTTACATGCACAGCAATTTAACAGCTATGACAGAATCATCAATGCTAAATGCAGTGACTAATAATTCAAACTAATCAGAAAACAATGGTGCTGGATAGGACACACATAAAGAAAACCAGCTAACAGCATTGGACACACATAAAGAAAACCAGCTAACAGCATAGGACACACATAAAGAAAACCAGCTAAGAGCATCAACAGAATTTCCTTTTTCCGAAATCTACAAGGCAAGAGAAATATAAGATAAAAAATATGGCGGTCATCATTTGTGATGTTTTTCACTACCCCTTCCAGTTCAAGTAATGTTTTCCGCTGCAGAAAGAGAATGACTTCCCTTCCCATTCATGCCTTAAAAATATTACTTTAACCCACCTTCCTTACAGATATTAAAAGGTCATTTATAGCTCACAACAGCACATAAAAATTGAAAACTCAAGCATTAACCCTTTCACCCATGCAACACTAAAAAATGGGTCATGACCCAAGAAGATTCTTGAAAACAATCCTTTAAAATTATGATTTTACACAATCATAATTAAATGTTTAAAACGTTAATTATGTATATTTTATGAACCCACTAAATATATAAAGATATATATATATAAAAAGTAATCAATAAAGAGAAACAGAGTGATGCATTGAAGGGAATACATTCTCCTAGGAATTAAAATATATTTGTTCTGTAACTCATGCTGTGACCCAGTGACCTCTATCCCATAAGGCTCTTGTCAACTGGACTTTAAAAAAAAATCCATTTGGTCTCAAGGATCAATATTTTTAGTTCATATATGCACATCCTTCATAACACTCTCCAGACTGCTGCCGGTCCATCTCTTGATTTTGTTCAGCTTTATACAGTTGGGTGTTTAAAGTAGTCTGTGGACAATTTTAAAGATGTCTGTCTGTTCGCTGATAGTCACACATTTTTTTTAAGATGATGACGGATAACAGAAACTCCCAGTTAAATAAGTGATGGTTAATCAAAGTTTTACTGTACTTCAATTCCCAAAAGCCACTGTGGTGTAGCGGCTAGACACTCACTCTGGCCTTGACGGAGCTGGATAGTTTTTAGGGGAAAAGAAACATTTACTTTGGCTCCTTGGTTGACCCAGCTTTAAATGGTAACCAGGTAAAGTCCTAGGAAGTAGAAGTGGCTGGCGTGATGCTGACCACATCACCACCAAGTGTCAATTGGTCCATAAAATACAGTCTAGCCTATATGCCTGAGTGTGTGAAAATGAATCTTTCACTTTGTACTTTTACTGCCAAAAGAAAATTTACTGTACACTGCATGAAAAACATCACCAAGCAGCAAACATCTGCAACCATCCATACATGGAAGAAACCATACATGTATCCATATTTTAAAAAGAGACATACTGAAACATGTGACAACTGGAAGAATTATGGCAAACAGACAAAGGGAGACAATCAGAGATGATTTTTCAGTCTTTTGTCAAGGCATGTAAAGGTGTCAGCATACAACTGATACATTCTGTCGGACAGGATGTGGAGAACCACGATCACTCATGTCTGTTGGCAAGGCACTTGGTTATGATTATAATGACATGTTTCACAGACTTACTGTAAAGGAAATCTGTGCTGGTCTTGAGGATCACTCTCTTGACTTCTCAGCTCAATTTCCATTGGACTTAGCTCTTCTTGAAAGGGTACTAAGTAACCCCAACCATGTTTCTCATCATAATGGACAGGATACCCTGCCAGAACAAAATATGAAAGGTCGCTGCATAGGTCAAATTATCGTTCATATTATATGCAGGTATCATGGCAATTCTGGGTCAATATTGGCCTGTATCAATACTGACAAGACAGCAAGAAGTAGACAATGATACAAGTGGAAGGACAACATCAACAAATGGAAGAACAGCGGTCTGAGAATGTACAACCAAGACAAGAGACAGAGCATGCTGGAGTTCCACTGCAGCCAACCTTAACTTTGGAGATGGCCCCTGACTGATTAACTGACATGTAATAATGAATTTTGATTGCCAACAGAGACATTTATTAGTAAACAGAGTGTGTATCAGGCATTTCACTTCACTAAGAAAATAAGATGTCTGACTAATCAACATAGAACAGGCATGATATGCTGAGAAAGGTGAAGACCGGGATGCTTCCAGCAGTGGCAAGCTTCAATGGAAAGGTCATTGATAGTGAGCATACCTTGGATATTTTCTCCAGGCCATGCTGGCACGGTGGGTAATGAACAGGCAGACAGATTGCCTGGATCTGCACCACTGGGTGGTGAATTGATATATGACAAGGCAGATGTGGTCAAGGTCCTTTGGGAACGTATCAGAATCAGTAGAGACAGAAGATTATTATGGCCTGGAGAGAATGAGGCACCTGGGTGTAACCAGAGGGTCTGGCCGGCTCACTACAGTCATGGGAAAGGCAAGACGGACATATAACCAGATTGTGACCAGTACCAAAAGTATTAGAACTCTGCGCTGGCTGCTGAAGATGAGGACGGAGCATGCATGGGAATGCCCAAAGAGCTGTGATGTCAATTCTTGACTCAACTAAACTCAGAACAGGCATGATGAGGTCTTTTCATAGTTGTAGAACTATGGGGGGGGGGGGGGCACCTTAAATTTGCTCAGAATGAAGTGATGATAGTCCTCATAACCAATTACATTTAAAAAAATCAGTGCTGTTTTCTATCCAAGTCCAGTTTTGAAGACTAGCTTTAACACACTGGAGTTTGGATTAGCAGGCAAAACATCTGCTTGAATAAAATGAAGGATGTCAAAGTTGATTTACTAGGGCAAAAAAAATAGGGGTTTTAAATAGGCATCTATACCATTTATTTCCCATTTTAGTGACTGTTCTGTGATTTCCGCTCATTTCTTCTCAGGATGTGTCCAATACAGTGCCATCTTCTTTATCTTATAGCTGTTGTTACCAATCGTTGCCTGGGCGTTTCTTTTATTTCTTCACCTCTCTTAATTCATCCCATTTTATGTTCAACATTTTCTTCCAAATGCACTTAACTTTCATTTCATGTCTTTAGTGATTCTACAACTTTCCCAGACCTTGCAGGATCTATTAACTCTAAAAAACTACTGCTATCGAAAGAAGAAAATTATGTACACAAAAGCAGTACATACCATCCCATACCAGACGCATGAGTTTGGGTGTAACCCGGCACTGAGTGCTAATATTACTTGGGCCAGGATAGAAATCAACATCTCTGGGACGAGGACACAGTTCTCTGTACCACCTGACAGATGTTGAAGAAAGAAAAAAGTTTGCATAAACAAACAATATATCTTCTTCTCTGCACTAATCCGCTGTATATTCCAGCAGAACTGTCTAGGTGTTCATCCACTTCCCAGGTGTTCATCCACTTCCCAGGTGTTCATCCACTTCCCAGGTGTTCATTCACTTCCCAGGTGTTCATTCACTTCCCAGGTGTTCATTCACTTCCCAGGTGTTCATTCATTTCCCAGGTGTTCATTTACTTCCCAGGTGTTCATCCACTTCCCAGGTGTTCATTTACTTCCCAGGTGTTCATTCACTTCCCAGGTGTTCATTCACTTCCCAGGTGTTCATTCACTTCCCAGGTGTTCATTCACTTCCCAGGTGTTCATTCATTTCCCAGGTGTTCATTTACTTCCCAGGTGTTCATTCACTTCCCAGGTGTTCATTTACTTCCCAGGTGTTCATCCACTTCCCAGGTGTTCATTTACTTCTCAACTCTGGTCTTGTTTCAGAATTTGAATTTTGCATGCATATCCATTCTACAATCTTCTTTTTTGTTCTTCTGCATTCCGAGCCCTTGATGTTCACTGCTACAAATACAACCCGCCTCCATTCATCTCTCTTGTTGGTCTTCTCTTTCCAGTTGGTGACACCAAGTTTTTGCAGGTCTGTCTAGACATTATCTCTCTGTTGTCTTCTTGGTCTGCCTCGTGGTCCAACACCATTCAGCTCCCTTTTGTATGCAGCTTTTACCTCTCTGTCATCTGATATTCTCTCAATATGCCCCAGCCATTTCAGTCTTTTAGCTCTCATTATGTCAGTGATCAATGGTGATTTAAACAGATTATCAATTACGTTGTTGCTTCTCATTCTCATTCTACAGATCTAACTTATTTATATGCAGAATGTTTGGTCATAGCCTCTGAGGCAGATGCATTTCGACTTTGAAGGAAATACTCAAAATTAGTCACTTTAAAACAAATGTTTGTCTGGAGAGAGATGTTCCATTCTACTTGTAGAATGGTCTATTCTTTTTCCCTCAAAATGGGGCCCCAAACCTGACACAGGGAAGTATAATACAACCAGTCTTAATACCATCTTAGTGTATAAGGATGATTAACACAGCAGATTACTTCCTACCTCAGAAAACAATGCTAGATCCCACTGGTCAAGCAGTAGACAAATACAGTGTGACACTATCTTCTGCAGTAGCTTAATACAGTGTGACACTATCTTATGCCTTTTATCTCCTCCTTTTCCCCAAACGGAGCACAGGCGCTCAACCAAGAAACACCAAGCAGTCTCACCGTTTGCTGTAACATGTAGCTCATTCAATATCAAAATATTGCTTTTTCACTTCACTTTCTAACTATTTTCTTTATTTTGTTTGATCGTATGCCTTTATATCGCCACCAAGTAGGTTCCAGTGCAAAACATTCTAGTTATATTGTTACCAGGTTATCTCATTGTGTCCTCTCCAAAGCCAGCATCTTTTCCTTATCCCTTGATCCAGCCTTATTTATTAAGTTGACTACTAAAGCTCGACAGTAGTGGTTCTGTTACACTACCATACAATGTGGCTACCATCAAATCTATGACATGGCAATGAATGACTGTTTTCTTCTCTCCCCCCCCCCCCCACCCACAACTTTTTTGTTTTATTTAACTTACTCCAAAATGGTATTGGAAGGCCAGGGAATAATTAATGAATATACAAAAAAGCTTTAAGAAAATCCTTGAAAACACAGCATACTGAGCCAGTTTTTAGTTAAAACAAAACATTATAAATCTTCACCAGATTTTACAGAATTTATTAATGTAAGGCAAAGTGAATTTATAATTATAAATTAAGGATCCGCCCACATAGGTCAGCAGGTTACATCATAGCTATAGGGTATCCCAATAAAACTGTTTTATACAGCTGAACAGGGGAACTGCCGTGGTGTAGCGGGTTGATGCTCACCTGTGAATCTGAAGGTCCTGGGTTCAAATCTAAACGGTGCTTGAATGGAAAAAAAAAATGACCCTGACTCAGGTCAAACCACCCTCGAAAGGATACCAAGTAAAAGTCATGGGAAGTAAAGGCGGCCGGCGTGGTGCTGACCACATCACCCATCAAGTGCTGATTGGTCTATACAAATTAAGTCTAGCCCTCTCGCCCAATATGCTTGAATGTGTGGAAAAGGGTCTTTATCTTATTATTTTACTGTTGAACAGACAGCCACCGTAGGGTAGCTCCTGGACTCTTGCCTGCAGATCTTAAGGTTATAGGCTCAAATCAAAGAGATTTTGGTAAAATGACCTTGGCTGCTGGGTCAACCCAGCCTTCAGGTAAAGTCCAGAATTGGTCTATAAAATAAAGGTCTAGTACTATAGGCCCAATACACCTAAAGGCGTGGAAAAGGGTCTCTTAATTTTATAACTGAAGGGGATTTCTAGGAATCAGTCCTGTTGCATTCACATCTCTCAGTCACTGGGTGTCAATCTTTTAGGCTGGATCCCAGAGGGAAATGTTTAAAAAAATCATCATCGTAAATAAATATACTAAACAGAAGGAAGTAAAAGACTCACAAAGGGTAGCCTGGCATGAAAGTCGGATTTTTGGGAACCCTTGAAGCTGTAGAATACACTCTTCTGATCACTCTCTTGTACTCCTCTAGTGCCTCCTGACCCTGGACAAATGAAATGATCAAGTGCTTGTTCTAAACCAAGTTGTGAATAATATACACCCAATAAAGAACTCAAGCATGATGCAAGATGTCACAATAAGATAAGACAAGAGGCCTAGTTACCTCAGATAAAACAAGAATATGAAAGGTCCTGTGAAAATGCTGTACCTGTTAAAAATCCTACAGTAGTTAGTAGATACCATATCAAGTATATCTTAACTGGCCCTTTCCTTAAGATTAGAAAATTTCATAAAATAGAAAAGCTACCTACACACATTTATTTTTAAAGGTGTAAACTATATTCCTATGTGGCTTTCTCCTTCAGTATTACAGTGTGGGATTCTAGATGTTTAATCTGTTGACAAAGACTTTGGTCAAATATTTGGTTGTATCTGTGTGCATCTTCCCCCCTGGAGGTTCACAGTCATAGGCTGTGCTGTGTTAATTTATTTCTTCATAACATGTCAATTGCAATCAAACTTATATTTTATCTCTTTGGAGTAAACTGAGATACATTTCCTCATTTCATAAATATATTTTTCTTCTTCGTTCTGAGCCCTTGAGGTTCACTGCTGCAGATATCAGTCGCACCCATACATCTCTCTTACTGGCTGACCTTCTCTTTCCAGTTGTAACACTAAGTGTTTGCAGGTCTGTCTGGACAGTATCTTTCTATCATCTTCTTCATCTGCCTCGTGGTCTACGACCTTTTATCTCCCTTGTGTATACAGTTTTTACCTCTCTGTCATTTAACATTCTCTTAATATGCCCAAGCCATTTCAGTCTTTTAGATCTCATGATGCCAGTGATCAATTGTGGTTTAAACAGATTATGAATTTTGTAGTTGCTTCTCACTCTCCAATCCCCGCTGTTTGTATCTTTGATCATAAATATATAAGCCTAAAAAAAGTATGTTAATGATATTCTCTTATTTTTAAGCTGCAACCAACAGCTGATTTCATGAATGACAGCCAATATTCTATACACAGATATATTTTTGTTTTCAAGCAATGTTTGATATACATGAAATCATATGTACAACAGCCAATATTCTACAAACACTACAGACATATTTTTTTTCCTAAGCAACACGTGAAACACTACATGAAAAAATAACTCTCAAATCACATTTCAAATATCTATTAAATTCAAGGGATGCATTTACCTCCTCAAAAACTAAACTGCTTGGAAACTTGTTGCTGTTATCATCTCCTTTCTCAAATGGATCAGTTACATTGTCTAGATTTTTCCCAGTTTTGTTGAGGCGATACGCAGATGTGGACCAGTCCAGATCCCAAAGCCAAGGGTCATTTTTATATCTGAAAAAAAAAAAAATACATACGTTTTATATTTATTAGTCAAACGGTTTAGAGCAGTGATTTCCATTTGGTAGTTTGCAGTGAAAAGCAACAAAATATCTATAATTACAATATAAAAAGGCTATCTCAGTAGCACCAGGAGAGACGGCTAAATATATTTCACATGCGATGCCTAAGAAGAATAGTTGGCATTAAGTGGCGGGACAAAATCACAAATACAGAGGTACTGGAAACAGCAGGTACTACAACAGTCTTCTCAATGCTCATTCTACAAAGGTTCAAGTGGCTGGGTCACACCTGGAGAATGGAGGATGGCAGAGTCTCTAAGGACATTCTTTATGGTGAATTAAAGATGGGTAGAAAATGTCGATGCCGACCTCTACTACGGTATAAAGATGTGTGCAAGCGGGATATGAATAATACAGGTATTAAAGTAGACTCATGGGAACAAAATGCCATGGACTGTGTTGTGTGGAGAGGGCATATCAGGAAGAGAATGGGAGTGAAGGAAGAAATGACTGCAGAAAAGATGACAGATGAGCGGCTGAGAAGTAACGGATTAAACACAAATGTTGTTAACAATGGTCCTGAAATCCCATGCTATCATTGTGGAAGACTTTTCTTGACACGGGCAGGTCTTGCTAGTCACACTCACCATCGCCACAGGCTGTGAGTCCCATGCCTCCTCACAGCGCAATATAACACTATCGTCTGGAAAGACGAAAAGGTACCAATCAAACAATAAATCATCTGCTGTTTTTTGTTTTAACCTTTTTAAAAAAAATTTTCAAAGAATGGGTTCTATGACAGATCTTTGAAAATAAAAAGAGTCCGCAGGTCATAGCTGATTTAGAGTTCATGACAGCAGCCTCCAGCATGAGTAGACCTGTTTCATTACAAGGTCTGAAATGTGTGGACTGTGTATAAAATAAACCCATAATTTTGGGTTACTAGATCGACAGTCTTGTCTTCTTAAATATAGGCAACAAAATTCAGATTACCTGTGTGCACAACCAAATAACAAAAGACCCATATACGATAAGGCTTCAAGTGGAAATCTTAGTGATAAGATAAAAATTACAACAACTATGGCATTGTCTTGTAACCTGTCAATGCTGGTGTTTGTTAGGGTTGTCAAGAAAGTTAAGCATGTGACATCATGGTGTAGATGAACATGGTGATGTCATTATGGCAGTTTAAATATGGCCAATGCAATTTAAGGCCAAATGGCACCTGATGGATGATATAATCAACATCCTGCTGGCCACCCATACTTTTCAATACTTGAGCTGGCACCCATTTTAGGCTTTAGGCTGGGTCAACTTGGCAGCTCTTCCTCGAGGTGAATTTAAATCTAAGACCATCGCCAAGCAGGTAAGTGTCTAGCCACTGTAGCTACTAGAAGAATAGGTTGAGTAAATAAGACAAACTCATGTGAATAGCTACTACTTGAATGAGTTGAGAAAAGACATACAAACTCCTTTAAATAGTTACTACTTGAGCGAGCTGAGAAAATGATGCACAAACTCATAAATAACCATTACTTGAACAATGTGAGCAAATCATATACATAAGCTAACATTAATAGCTATGACTTGAATGGGCTGAATAAAAAAGATATACAACTCATGTAAATAGCTACTAACTGAATTAGTTGAATAAATAAGATATATAAACTCAAGTAAATAGCTACTAATTGAACGAGCTGGATAAACAAGACATCCAAACTCATGTAAATAGCTACTAATTGAATGAGTTGAATAAATAAGATATATAAACTCATGTTAATAGCTACTAACTGAATGAGTTGAATAAATAATATAAATAAACTAATGTAAAAAGCTACCAATTGAATGAGTTGAATAAATAAGATATATAAACTCATGTAAATAGCTACTAATTGAATGAGTTGAATCAATAAGATATATTAACATGTAAATAGCTACTAATCGAGAGAATTTAATAAAAAAGATTTATAAACTCATGTAAATAGCTTACTAGCTGAGTAAGACAGACATATAAACTCATGTAAATAGCTTACTAGCTGAGTAAGACAGACATATAAACTCATGTAAATAGCCACTAATTGGTGCTTTAGCTGACAACGTTGGTTAAACAAGACAGTGCATACTCTTCATCTTGAAGAAGAATACAAGCTTCATCAGCCAGCGCCATGAGCAGTTTTTTCAGCTCCCTTTCCAACTCCTCATATGTGCTGTTTGCATGCTGAATATATCTAGGCCAGGCATCATTTATGGGGAGGTAAGCTGTACCCATCTCCAGCATTCCTGCCAGTGTCACAGGATGGGGAAACCTGTAGAACAGACACACACAAATGTAGGCAAGACTAGTCAAATGTATGAATATGTACAAACAGAAGATATAAGGCTTTTAATAGCAGAAGAGCGATGATACTAATGGGATTCTTTTACTTCTAGCGTATTGGCAGAGGTGGGGGAGGAAGTGTATCTCTATAAGTAAGAGGTATAGCCATTTGTGTCAGGCTCTGAAGGTTGTGCATTCTCTTCAGAAAGTTGTATATTAATTTCACAGATCAAACTGGTTCCTGGGTGCAGTCTGACCGAGATCCCTGGGGACTATTGCTGAGTTTCATGTTGTGCGATGCTCTCAGCAGGAAGCTAGCCTTTCTGAGGAGAGAGAGACTAAGCAGTATGGAATGAAATCAAGTGTAGGGAATCCAGTCTTCTCAACTTTAAACTCTCTTTTTTTAATGAAAAAAATTGAAAAATAGAGATAGATAGATAATATAGCAAGGACATGGAAGGTTAGTTGGTTAGTTAGTTAGTTAGTTAATTGGGTAATCATCATTGCACTCAGGACATGTCCATAGGTGCTCAGATCCTCCCCTGAGTATGAACCCCAATATCCAATGGTTAATAGTACCAGTTCTATGTTGATTACCAAGTCTTCTGGTGTGTCTGGTGTGCGTTTAATTTTTTGCTATGCCGATCTTAATTCCCAAGTCTGCCATTCTGGCGAGTGATGTGGATTCACTGCCCCCAAAGTCCTCTATCCTTCCCATTTATCTGAGGGCATTAATAATATCAGCATGATCAATAGGCTGACCGTCTGTGGTGATAGAGGATCCAGCCAACCTATCAGCTCTTTCATTTCCATCGACGCCTGCGTATCCCGGAAGAAAAATAAAGGTGACTCCGCGCAGTGAAATTCTGTAATGATTCAAGCCATTGTCTTCACACCGAATCTGCCTGAACCCTCCATATCATACGCATTGAATCACTGAGCATACATACGTAGGTGTAGTTTTGTGTTTCGAGCCAGGCAAACGCTTGCATTACTGCCATCACCTCCATCGTCATGCTGCTGGTTGTCATGGAGAAGGCGCCATTGGCTTCTTTGACTGTTCTGCCCGCTGAGCGTGCTGTAAATGCCCATGCACTTCTTTTTTTGGCGTATAACGGATCGGTCTGTGTAGATTAGTGCATCTGCTTCGTCTGAATTTTCATTGAAGAGAGCATTGACCTCTGCATTACACAGAAGGATAGATGTGAATGAATACTCCTGGCAGGAGTGCTGAATGAAAACCTATGCCATTTAGGAAGATTTTTAAAAAAGAGGAGGCAAAAAAAAAAAAAGAACAAGAACAAGAAAAACTAGAACAAAAAAACAAGAAGAAAAAGAAGTGGAGAAGCAGAACATTAAAAACTTGCATCATTACATACATTAAGTTGTTGGTCAGAAAAGTGTTAACTTACCTTTCTATAAATTCTGGCCAGAGTTTTAAAAATACTTCACGTGTTGCTTGAACATCAGTAGCACAATATGTCATCAGATCCTGGCATCAAGTAAGCAGATCATATATGTTCAGAAAAAAATTTAATATTTTATATGTTCTCATTATCATTAGTAAATATTAAACCCTAAAAGCTATAGCGACATAGTCGTTAGTGTGTTTGCCTGCCAGGACAGTGGTCTGGGTTCAATCCTCACAAAAAAAAGTGGCAGTATAGCCCTGGGGTTAGCAAAGCTTCATAAAAATAGGTGCCAGATAATTTCTAGAATTTTCTGGAACTTTGTGGAAAAGAAAGGTGACCAGGAATCATTGCTGGATTTAGGCAAAGGCTTAGGGCCTCACAATCTGTAGAGGCATTTAAAAAATCATACTTTTTCCACAAATGCAGCTTTCTTTTCATACATTAACCTCCCCCCTCCCCCAATTTCATTAATACTATTATGGGTATATTATCTCAGGCTAATATTTGTTCTAACTTGTTGCAGCCAATTTAAATTACATAAAATAATTAGCTTGATTTACGTCATAATCAACGATGCTGCATTTGAGAAATCAAGATAAATGTTTTCAGTTGTATCTTAGAGCCTTTTAAAGGATTAAATAATATAATTTCTGTGATTTTGCAAAAACATTCTTAACTTCTGTAAAAAAAATTCAACAATATGTTTACATTATCTTTATATTTAAAAGGCAAATATATTTCAAAGTTTCCTGAGATTAGCTAATATATTTAAAACAGTAAGGGCCTCAATGTTTTATTTGGCTAGCGGCCTCATGAGATCTAAATCCCTGCAGAGAAACAAACATAGACCTTATCTCAGGCTGGAATTTCTTTGAGAGGGCCAATCATGATCGTTCACGATTAATGACATTTAAAGATGATAATTATGACATACAAGGCGCATTTTTGTAAGTACCATTTTGACAGTGACAAACACTGATGGAAAACATAAATGTGCATCTGCAGTACCTTTATGTGGTTCATTAGCTAGCTGTGTGCTATTTTTTCACTGTCCAAATTGTGTCTGATACTGCGTGTGAATGGTTTATAATGAGTGCAAAAATAAATATTCCCAGTTTATGCCACGGAATGTTCTTAGACTTCTGGTATCCTTCCTTTCAGTATTAGAGTTAAGTCACTAGAGAATTACAATAAAGAATATTCTGCTTCTTTTTCTTAGTGTTCACACACAGTAAACTCTGGCAGACAGTTCTGGCTGTTCATCCACTTTTGGACTTTAGTCTTGCTCCAGAAGTTGAGCTTTGTGTGCAAAACCATTTTACAGACCTGGCTGATATATATGCAGACTGTTAGTTACTAGAATCTCCTTCGGACTCTATGCAAAGATTCTACTATGCAATTATTTTTTTTTCAGTTGAAGGGAGAAAGAGTTTTTAGAGTTAAATATATCTAATCCTGATATATGGAAGTGAATCATGAACATTCAGAAGATCAGTGATAAATTATGTATGTAACTTTATAACACGCATGATAAGAATACCATGGACAGGCAAGAAGTCTCAAAAGAAATTTATTAACTGACAGATGAACTGGTTACCTGCATCAGAAGTTGCCAATAACAAATCTCTGGACACATCATGAAAATGAATAGACTGGCGCACATTGTGACAACAGGAATATAGGAGAGGAAGAGAAACAGGGGCAGATCAGTAGAGGTGATGTTAGACAGTCCGGTATCAAACTTGGAGGAACATCTTTAAAAACATGATTAACTGTACAATTGACAAACATGTCTACGAACTGGCATAATCATCAACACCACAGTGTGGACTAAAAGATGTGTTCAACTGTCCCAAACTAAGAACCAGAAAGAATGTTTTGTCATGCACACAGATATATATATATGCTTACACAAACACAGACTTACTTGAAACTGTTCTCGGACATCAGCCATACTGCCTTTCACAAAAACATCTTTAATGGCTTTCTCTATGGGTTCTCCACCACAGTGCAACTGATGGACATCTCGTAGGTTATTTAAACTGCTGATTTTCTTCCACTCGTCACTCTTTTTAAAAAAAATGATGCATTAATGTCATGATATCATGAAGAGTGAGATGACCAACCCTATTCATCGCCTTCTTTCATTTCCAGATAAATCTTTCTGGAATGTTTCCTGTGAGTATTTTCATGACTGTAACTGGTGAACATCTTGTAAATTTTTAAGCTGCTAAATGTCTTCCACTCATTAATCTTAAACAAACAAAAAACAAAAACACACACCAAATTATTACAACAACAACAACAACAACAAAAAAAGAACAAAAGACTCATAAAGGTCATGATATCATGAGGTAAGGTGACAACTCCACTTACCGCTAACTGTGCCAGGGTGTATTTTTTATGAGACCAAGATAATTCCAGTCTTATACTGCAGGACTGGTGGATATGTTAATCTTTTTTGAACTGTGGTCTTAACATTAACCCTATTGCTCCCTGAAGCCCTGAACTCAGAATTTGTGTCGTTCCCACATTCCAGTAAAGGCAGCAAAACTGGCTTTTCTGCGGTGACCTGGTTCCAAAAAGTGTAGTTTAATTTAATGTCTTAGTTTCTGTTTGCTCCTGCGCAGCATTTAGGAGGCTCAGATATGAATATATATATACTAAAAAACAGCATTCAGGGGGGTTTTCTTGTCAATCAAATGGCTTCTTAAAGTCATGCTAGCGTCAATCTTTTCTGCAGCCTCAGTGATAGATATCATACGGTCACGGCATGGGTCATTCGAAAGTTTTTTTTTTTAAGACCTAACGGAATGTATTATATTTAAAGCTGTAAATAATCGGGGTATATTTTTTTTTTTAATGTAGACAAATACATTATTACAAATGTATTTGTGAGCTGTGTAAAATGGTTGGATATTTTTTTCTAAAAAATGATTTTTTTTAGCCCCGTGTAATTTCCACAGATATACGACTCCTTTTTCATGGGACAAAAGGTGCACTGATGCACTGATCTTCAAATCATCTGACCCCAGAAAAGTTAGTAAAAGCCAGTTAAAGGAATATTTTTTTAATGTCAGAGGTGCATGGAGCCAATCAGCACTCTGTGGATGAGGTGGTCAACATCCCGCAGCCACCTTTACCTCTCTGGACACTACCTTGTACTCATTTTAGGCTAGGCAGACCTGGAAACCTAGTCCAACTGTTTAAAAAAAAATTTTCAACTCTTTGTGGATTTGAACCCAAAACCTGTGCTTGCAACTATCAATATGAAGTTGGTGTAATGACTTTTCTTCTGACCTTTGGATTACTATTTATAAGGGGTTATATTGCAGTTTGTGTAGTATACCACTGATTGAATATATCCATTTGATTATGGTCTTTCTCTAGCTCTAAGACCAGAGCTTGTATAATTGTAAGCTACATGTGGAGGCTGTCTGGGCTTCATTTCATAGGATGCCAAAACCACTTGATCAGTAGTTTTTTCATGAATTCAATATAAAGTATACTACCTTTAATGCATCTAATATGAACCTCCGTTACTATTTAGACAGATATATATTTGGGGCTGCAAGCAGAATGTTGGTACAAACATGTTATTTATCACTTGCTGCTTGTCATCTGTAGTGATATGCGGATACTTGTATGATGTTTCTGCTTGGTTTTTCATGTGTCGAAAGTTAATAACTGGTTGTAGTTTGTAGTTTTTTTATTTTTAAATTCTAATTCTGATTTTTCTATTCCTTGAAGCTTGCTGTCATTCTTTTAAAAATTAAAGATCATTTATATGTACTAGTGTCAGAGACTCATAAAGGGAATAGATTACTGCAAATGGTGGCATTTTCCTAAAGACAAGGCATATGACAAGCAAACAAGTGGTTGTTTTATAAGAATTAGTGTGAAATTTACTCCTGATTATTGGTAACGAAGTGGTTAATACCTGTGAATGCATTATTCGCAACTGGAAAATCAGTCTCTTTTATTCTCCTAAGGCCAAAAAATTGTATCATTGACTTTTGGTTTGAGAATTTCAATAAGAACAACCAGTATAAGAATTATTTGTTGGCTACTCAGGAAAGGGACAGAGCATGTGTGGGAATTCCTCCAGTGCTGTGATTTCCTTTCTTTATTCATTCATTTAATAAAAAAGGACTTTTACTTCAGCCAGCTGTACCTCTTCCATTGTTTCTGGATTTTATTTGACTGCTCTCAAACTGATAGGCCTGCCCTGTTTATTTTGCTTTGTGGCATCAAATTAACCAAGTTTACCAACTTTCTTAAATTCCCAATGAATCACAGCAGTTTGTGTTCACTGTCTGTGGCTCTGGCATTGCAAACGCGCTTTGTAACGCCAGGGTACCGGGTTCGATCCCAGCTGTAGACGAGTTATCTGTGTTGGTTTCGACAGTGGTACCAAAAGCTGACCGTTCAGGAGCAATAGCAAAGTATTGAATGTAAAATCTGTCTAGAGAAACCACAACAGCTAAAAATGCTGGGGTTGGTTCTGCAATGTCCTATAAAGGATACGCAACTAACTAACTTGTGTTGTGCACAGTGGAACACCAGGATACCAATTTTATCTATTCCATGAATGAGCTTGTCTGGTGAATAACCAGTATTCTGAATCTATTCTTTTCCAGTTTAAATAATTTCAATCCCTCCAGCCCTCCCAAAATCCCCCTATTAGTTTCAAAATTATGTTTTTATTTCGTTAATGAGAAAAATGTGTGGCACCGCATAAAATAAAAAAAATCTGCCGATAGTGTAAAACAGGGTTACTTCTCACCATGATTGCTACAGTCCATCATTATCAAGTGCCTTGTCAACTGGCATAAGTCCTCCTTTAGCAAGGTTAATGTGACCTAATCCATGTAAAAGTGATTGAGATGGTGTCAGGTAACGCCAAGGGTTCACATCTCTCCAGCTTTCATCCTGGATTTCAACTCATATTCTAGGGCAAAAAAACTGGCGAGCCTGAAGTATCCTGGAAAACTTGTATATGATTTTATGCAGATTAATACAGACTCAGGAAAGTAAATATCACAACTAAAGTACTATTTAATAAACAAACTAAATAAATGCACTTGTGTCATGTACATACTGAAGGTCTCCTGTTCAGCTTCTGTTTGTTAGCATGTTCAACAATTTCCTTCCTATGGCTATCTTTTCCGCTAGCATTATGAAGAAGTCTCTGGAAACTGGTTAACCCACAGATTGCAATATGCATTGACATGGTGTCCAAGAAGCGCAGTTCTGTTCCCTGGAGTGGTAACAAAACATCACGAAAACATAATGTTGCATATTAAAATAGTAGTAAAGCAAGAGCTGAACACAAAATACAATCTCAAATTAAATACAGTAAATCTCATTTAACTTGAAACAACAGTCATGAAATGTCTACTAAATTCTAAATGTAACTAGAAGAGTTAGGATCAGAAATGATGATATCAGGAAAGAAGCTGGGACAGAATCAGTGTTAAACTATAGTAAGAGACAACAGATCAAATGGTTTCAACATGTGTAAAAGCTATGACCAGACAGTTCATCACAGAAAGCCCTGTCACCTAAGACATAATAGAAGCAGATGTTGAGCATGCAAACGATGGACAGAAGGAATATCCAAGGTTGTAAATACCAGCATTTATGTAGCACACACCAACGTGATGTTTCCTCAAAACCTGACACTGAAAAGCACAAAAGGACCAGAGAAGAAGAACCTTGTTAACACAAACTCTCTTAAGATTTTGGTCCCAGGAGAGATGTACATGACCGCATGTATTATTAGCCTCCAGTTACAACAAATTTTTCTTTTTACATGAACTCTTGATTTCTCAGTCCAGGGAATTCACGCCCATGAGGTTTTACGTAGTTAAAACATCAGTTATATAAATAATTGAATAGATAAACAGTTTCTTCGTGTGGGTTCAAGGGCCCTATTTTGGGGGAGCCATTCGCACAACATTATAACTACATCTTCTATTAACACAACTGTCTTCTACGACTTTTGGTAAGCAACAGTCCACGAGTCCACCTTGGACTCTACCTCGCTTACTCGACCAACCCCAAGTATCTTGTGCGGTCGCTTGTCGCACAGACTTTCTGCTTGCCACATTGTACGTGTGGAGACCACGCAAAGCGCTTTATCACAAATGGGATGCCTAGGCCCAAAAGACGCAGATATCACAGTCTAGATGTAAACTAAAATGCAAGGTGTCAACTACCTTTTAAAGGGCGAATGAAGAAGAAGATATACACAAATTAGATTATATAAAAAATATAATTAAACAATGTCGTAACGGCCATCATTTAACAACACAAACTGAACAGTAAGCTCAATCTCCTTCTCCTCCTTCTTAACATTCACCGGCTGTTAACTCCAAGGAAATATTCTGGTCATTCGTGTGCTTCTGGACTTTGGTCTTGTTCCTGACCTTGAGTTTTGCATGCACATCTTTTTTTTACAGATCTGGCTTATTTGTAGACAGAATGCTGGTTTATCACCTCTCAGATAGATGCACTCCGACTTTGAAGAAAACACTTACTTCCATCACTTAACAACATAAACTGAACTGTAAGCTATATGGAGGAAGAGAATTATAAACACCATGTGTTTGTTTTGTTACCATGCATTTATTTTTTCTTTTAATATTAGTTCAACTGCAATCACCCCTGCTGTCGATAATCAATCTCAGACTGATACTGAAGTATGATCATGTCCCACAATTGTCTCCTGTTCTCAGTGACACTCTTCAAATGAGCACAAGTCCAACATCCTTGTGTGCTTTCAGGTCTCTTGAAACATTTGTTTACCTGATTTCTTTTCTGAAGCTTGCATGAATGTATTTAAAAGAAAGAAAAAAAGAAGCTAGGGACTTGAAAGAATGAGATAGAAGACTATGTGCGCATGCATGTGTACTGCAAGTGATTGCACATATGTATGGAAAAGAAAAGCTGGAGACTTGAAAGAATGAGATAGAAGACAGTATGTGTGCATGCAAGTGTACTGTGAGTGCTTGCACGTACGTATGTAGCAACAAAAAACACACACAAAAAAGCTAGAAACTCAAAAGGCTGAGATAGATAACTGTATGTGTGTATGCATCTGTACTGTGAGTGCTTGCATGTATGAATGAAAACAAACAAAAGCTACAGACTCAAAATGTTGAGACAGAAAACTGTATGTGTGTATGTATGTGTACTGTGAGTGCTTTCATGCATATACGAAGAGAGAAAGAAGCTAGAGGTTCAAACCGCTGAGGGAGAACATTATTAGTGTGTATGCCAGTGTACAGTGAGTGCCTGTATGTGTGAATGTATATATATATATATATATATATATATATATATATATATATATATATATATATATATATATATATATATATATATATGTGTGTGTGTATGTGTATGTATGTATATATGTGTATGTATGTATGCATGTATGTATGTATGCATGCATGTATGTATGTATGTATGTATGTATGTATGTATGTATGTATGTATGTATGTATGTATGTATGTATGTATGTATGTATGTATGTATGTATGTATGTATGTATGTATGTATGTATGTATGTATGAAAGTGTATGCATGTTTGTGTTCATGTATGTACATTTGTATTTATGTATGAGGGAAGAAAAAAGATGGACGCTCAAAAGGCTGAGACTGAAGGCTGTATATGTGCATACATGTATGTATGAACAGTGAAAGGTCTTAATCCTATAAAAGCAAATCAAACAGCTGAAGAGTTCATTCTATTATAGTTCACTGTACGCACTAAAACTCTTATAAATTTAGGAAAGCAAGCTAACCTGAATCATGTACTGTTCCTTTACAAACGATCTATCAAAACCAACATTGTGGCCTATAACAAGACGTGGGTCCCATTTCCCACCAGGTGGAGACAGTGTTCCTTGCTTGGTTTCCAGTGGAATGAGATCTTTGAGCTGAGGTGTTTTAGCCCATCGAAACTTGTCCTCGAGAACATAATCACTCACCCATGAGTACCTTACAGATAAGAAGAAAAATAACTGATTTAAATTAATACAATTGTTGCTGGTTCAATGTATGTTTAGTAACAATGATGGCCTACTTAATTTCAAAATAAAGTTAATGAGAGTTTAAAGAAGTGCTGATTTAACTGAAAGCTAAATGATTTTTGCAATTGGGAAATATATGGAAGAAATCAAATTTGGCAAAGTGCTGGATGTGTTCAGGTAGAAACAAACATAGTGTGATTGTTGAATAACCTTAGTCAGTAATATGTTTATCTTTTTCACATCTAAAGCATAATTTATGAATATTAAAGAAATGTTAACCTTATTTCCCTCTGGTTAAACAAATCAGGAAATATTTGGGACACAAATTCCTGCAAATCAAAGGGCGGGAAAAGATGCTGCCATTGAATAGGCTACACTAAGAATAACCTTATAACAATATAACTTTAATGTGGCTATACTGGAATTCACAGGAGTTAAAGGAATAAAGGCATGCACGCACGCACGAACGCAGGCACACACACATGAAAAGAAAATTAGAGTGAAATGAAAAAGATAGGAAAGACATGCAGCCAGCCACACACAAGAGGGAAAAGATGGGATGATTCTGTGAGAGTTGTTTGAGGACCTATACTCCACTGGGAGAGAATGGGCAGACAAATAAGACCCTCTGCTCCCTCTGCACCTATTTGTAACACTTTTTTATTTTGTCAAAAACATCCCAATAATGAAATTGAAAACTATAGTAGCATAGTGTGTATGACTAGATATTGCTGTCAAGCTAATTGCTTATTTAGTCAAACAGTTTTTAATCTTGTCTCTTGTGTTATCACAGCAATCTTGATTTGACATCCTGCTAACTTATGTGGATAAAGTCACTAACCAGTCTTTGGTTCATGTTCAGTTATTTTCCATACTACCTTTGGCATAATCTCACACATGACGACCAGCACTACCAAAAAGTACAGCTGACTATCCAAGTAGTGCTGCTCAGTTATGTACAATCAATGCATCACACTTTGGTTTTGAGCTCTCCCAAACAATCATCACATCCTGTAATTTACTTCTTTTTCTTAGTGTTCAGCAGCTGTAAACTCTCATGGAAATTCTCAGGTGTTCACCACATCTGGACTTTGGTCTCATTCCTCATTCCTGGAACTTGAGTTTTGTGTGCATAATCAGTCTTACAGATCTGGCTAATTTATATGCAGGCTGTTGGTTCCTTGCCTCTTAAGCAGAAACACTTGGACTTTGAAGGAAACACCCCCAATTTGTCACCATTTACAATATGCTGGTTAAGGGAGATGAATGTTAAATTAAGAATCGACATCCTAGCACTTAAGACAACCCCATAAGCGCTCTGTTACCATCTTCAACAGCAAGCAAAGAGTTCCAATTTTGAAGGCACCAGTGAGTGTCTGACTGTACATTCGTCTTGCCTTCCTCTTGAGTGTCGAGCGTCGGCCAGATCCCTTGGTAACTCCTCACAGTGCCACTCTCCTCAGACTGTAATGATCTATTTGTGTCTCAGCACTGTTGACTCGCTCCCAAAGAGTTAGTTAAGGGAGCAATGGAAATATTCTATTCCTCCTCCCCAAATGGGGCCCTGGAACCCACATGGGGAAACACAAAACAATCTATTATTGCTTATTCAAATGTCCAGGTTTCTACACCATTCAGCTGGCTGCTGAAATTGAGGACGGAGCAAGCATGGGAATGTGATGTCAATTCCTGACTCAACTCAGTAAGGTTCTTCTTCTTCTGACTTCTCTCTTAACCCTTTTTCCTTTAAGAATATTCACAAATGACCTTCTTTACTACCCAAGAAACTAGAGGAAGAGAGTTTTTACAAACAACCAGGAAGTCGAACACCTAGATTACCAAGCAGACAGGCAAGCATAAAGGTCAAAGCTTCTTCACGGACATCAAGTTACTATGTTTTCTAATCCACTTCAAGTGATTATTTTGGGCAAAGGTAATTTTTTTCATGTGAAATGAAGTAAACACTAAATATGAACTGAAGCAAAGAATTGCCTCTTTCCATCTCTCTGATCATAATAAACATTTTTTTTTTTGTAACTGAGCCATGCAGAGCAAAGTGAAATCATTATGAGATTAGTATGATGCAACGATAGCATCACATTTTTTTGAATATACAATTTTTTAAAAATAACTTAACTATTATATAATTTTTTTCTTTTTGGTAAATATGAAAATGCACACCACTTCTAATAAATGCCAGAAAAACGCCCAGGTTAAAAAAGGTGATTGTTGGCACGTTGTGGTTCAGTAGAGTTGAGCAAACATAACACTTGTTCTTCTGCGTTCGCCAGCTGTGAAAGTCCTGGTTGTTTGTCCATGTCTGGACTTTGATCCTGCCCCAGGACTTGACTTTTGTATGCAGACTGTTGGCTCCTTGACTTTCAGACAAAAGTGCTCCAACTTCAAAGTAAATGTAGATCCTATTTATGCTGGTCAGGACCGTGGTAGGGAATCTGTTTACAGGATGATCACAGAGAGGAGCAGATAAGTCCTGACTAATTTTAAGACCTCTCAATGTGGGTTCCGGGTCCCCATTGTTGGAAAAACAAGAATAGTCCCACTGCCTGAGAGGCAAGGAATCAACAATATGCATATAAATAAGTCAGATCTGTAAAAGAATGTGCATGAAACACTCAGGTTCGGAACAAGACCAAAGTCCAGAGATGGAAGAAGGACCAGAACTTATCGCCAGAGTTTGCAGCCAGTGAACGTGAAGACTATTTTGAGACCTGGTCCTGGTGCATTACCTCAGATGATGGTTCAGCCCCTCTGCAACCCAATATAACATCTGACAATTCTCAGTTTTAATGTGTTTTCTGCATTTTATAATGCACTATGCTGGCAACTGTGAGGACTTCTTTAAAATAAAACAAAAAAATATCATTTTCCAAACTGCCTGTGTTTACATTATTACAATATAAGCAGGGTGGGGAGGGAGGTATCTGAGCCTGAGGATTTAAGGCTGCATGGCTAGTGTTATCGCCACAAGCTGTGCAGGTTAGGATTTTACTATTGCTCGTGACAAAAGAAAATCCCTAACTCTACTGATGATTCGAAGCCGGGTTGCTCGCATGAAAGCCCTGTGTACTTAACCATTCGGCCAACCACTCCTCAATCATTTTTCACCTTTATTTAATGCATTATGGATTACACCACATAGTGTATCACTAAAACATCACTCACCAATGCCTGGCAGACACTGCTGTTGCCATTGTTGGGTAGTTTCCCTCAGACATCAGACATTCTATGTCAAACACAAGACCTCTGTCATCTGGAAATGGCACTCTTTCACAGGAACCATCCTCACAATATTTAGTCCACCCTGAGGTTTTCTGCCATGAATCTGGCATTTTCGGTAATGGTCTTGAAATTAGTTCATCTATTAATAACTTGTACTCAGCTATCTGCTGGTTTGCAATATGAACAAAATGTTCATTGATATTATTTCCATATAGTGGTGGAAGTTTCAAATTTACGTCAGGTAATGTGGTTGTTCTTTTGCCAGCTAGGTCATGTTTTTGGAGATGTTTCTGAATAGCATTAAGTGCTTCTTCCTTGAGTTTAGACTCTGATGCATTCTTGAATATCTGCTGATGCAAAGGTTCTGAAAGCATCTGGATATTCACAGCGTTGAACCTTTGCTTTGAAGAGATTAACCTTCGGAGACAAACAGGTATCCAATGCCAATTCTTTCGACAGAGTATATTTGTATGCTGAACTTTCTTCATAGCTAACAGCATATTTATTACTTCATTCTTAGTGATATATGACATCATCTGTGGGAAGAAAAAGTATGTAAAAATAAATAATTATAGTTATTGACAAAATAAAATCACCGTAGACCATACACTATAAAAACAAGTAAATCAATTTTCAGAATAAATATGAAAAAAAAAAAAGAGTGAAGATCAATAACTAGGTATTTTTTAACATAATGCTATGAACTAGTTGCCACTTAACTCTTTAAGTCCTAGGGGGTTTAGCATCACAAGCCCAGGGGGTAGTAAAGAAAGTAATAAAATCGGTGCATCATGCGTTCATTGGGCTTCTAGGTAGGAACTTATGAGTGTATTATGCGTTCCTTGGGACTCAAAGAGTTAAGTGGCTTTTGAATCCATCCCATTCTGACTATTCACCCCCTTTAAGTGGCGCTTTATAGAGACATTCTAATAGTGTTTTGTTTGCTGGGAGAACAAATTTGTATGAAAATGTTTTGAAAAACTAGAATTAGTGAAACAAAGTCTTTTCATTTTGCTTAGTTCGGCATGGTCAGCTCATTAGTTTCCGATATGTTTTAAATTAATTTGATATGATACAATTTTGTTGTGATTTTCCCAGACCAAATGTTAAGGGAAAAGGTCTAGAACTATTCATACTACTCTGTCGTTGATGAATCTCAGCCAGATAGTGATAATAGTCTTGATATTTTGATGGATAATGCATGTGCCAAACCTGTTGCCGATAATTTAGGTAAGGATAAAAAGTGAACAAAATATTTCAATCAGATAATCTCTGCTTTGATCAGCTGTTTTCCTGATTTCGGTTGCTGTGAAATCTGACATGTCATACAAAAATGGTCATTATATACAAATTATTTAAATTAATTGTTTAAAATAAAGACATAATTTAACAGAGAAGGCATGTGCATTCTTAAAATGGATAGCAGTGTTATTGAACAAGTAAAAAGTAAGGTAAGCAGACAATTTTTGTGCGTAAATAATCTACTTAAGTGTCTAACATCCTTGAATGTTGTGTGATTTTAATAATATTTTGTTCTAATACTGAAACTTAAATAGTTTAGATTTATTCAGCACTCACTGCTTATTAATTTGATATATTCATTCACTGGCACCTTTCCATCTTTCCAGACGATAGTGTTATATTGCGCTATGAGGAGGCGTGAGACTCACAGATCATGGCGATGGCGAGTGTAACTAGCAAGTCCTCCTGCCCATTGAAGTTCCTCCTCTCAATAGCACAAAGCCTGGGCAGTATTGTAGAGACCATATGTTGATTTTTGATATATTATATGTCCTTATATAGCCAATCCTTTTTTCAGTAAGGTTTAGCTTTGTCATATTGAGGTAAAAAAAAAATTCCACTCAAAATCAATGCAGTCCAAATCCTAGAAAAAAATGTCGTCCTGAAAGAGTTAAAGATAAAAAATGGTGTTTAAAAAATTTCCTGTAAAAGATTTTTTTCATGGAACTGGCCAACTAGATGCTAAGCCAAACTGGCACTCAATGATAATTTAATCAACACCACACTAACAGCCTTTACTTCTCTGAACATTTTCTGGTGCTCACTTCACACCTCCAGACAATTTTAAACTCAAGATCTCTGGCCTGACAGATAAGAGTGCAGCCATTGTGCCGACAAGGCTCTTAATGGAGACATAAACAGATGTTTTGAAAAAAATCTTAATTACAAGAATTCTCTTCTTCCCATTTACCAGCTGTGAACTCTGGCAGGAAGTTCTGTTTGTCCATCTACTTCTGGACTGAAGACCTGTTTCAGAGCTTTAGTGATGTGTGTACATCTATTTTACAGACCTGCTTCATTTGTATGCAGACTGTTGGTTTCTTGCCTCTAAGGCAGAGGCACTCTAACTTTGAAGGAAACTCCACTATTTAGTTGACTTTTACAGCGTGCTTGTTGGGGCAGTGAGTCAATCCTCCCCCCCTCCCCCCCCCCCACACACTGGGGTCCGGCATCAGCACAGTGAACCATACATATGAAAGGGAAACTTATAAGAAAGCGAGCAAAAGATAGTAATAAATTATATGAACGAACAGTGGTATTTCTATTGCCAGTCAAATCATAACAGAAAATCGCTTTGATGCAACACTGGATTTTAGTACTGTCTATGCTGTAAGACTAAATTGGCTCTCCTCCGAACTTCTACCCCAGCATTATTGCGCCCTAAAATATTCATTCAGGGCTCAGTCCAATGAAAATTGCGGACTTTCTGCCAAGAAACAAATCGCGGCAAAACTAGGATTACTTAACAATTTCAAGAGACGCAACATTGCAGACGATAGTAGCAGACGATAAAAGCGACCCTTTACAATTTCGAGACATTACAGACGATGAAAGCGATATGGCGGGTAGACCACGCGCTCCCACGCAGATTAGCAATACTGTTCTTCCGATTGAGGATTTAGCAGCAGTAGATGTCAGACTTGTCGGCATGTGCAAAACGCGATTAAACCCACCGCCGAGGGTATCCCCCGCGACGCAACGCGTGGCGCGGATGGGGGGCTAAACTAGGTGCCTGGGACTCACGAGCAAAGTAATTGGAGGAAGTTGCAGGAGATGCGGTAGCTGCTGCTCATGAGTCCCAGCTATCTAGTTTAGCCCCTATCCGCGCCACGAGTAGCGGCACGGGGATATGGTCGGCAGTGAGGCATAGTCACAGAAACAGGTCCGCAAGTAACATAACGCAGAGACCCTCTTAGAGCATTTGTTTCATTTTTCCGAGCCGATCCTAGATTTGCGGCGATTTTTTTCGTCGCAGAAAGTCCGACAAGTCCACATTTTACATATTTGTTCCTCGGCAGAATGTCCGACAATGGAAAGTGTCAACGGTCGCTGTTATTATCGTCTGCAGTGTTGCGTCTCTTAGAATTGTCAGGTAATCAGAAACATAAACAGGTCTGCAAGTAACATATCGCTGAGACCCTGTTAGAGCATTTGTTTCGTTATATAGAGCCGGCATTTTTTAATAGAACTGAGCCCCGAACGGATATTTCAGGCCGCCATAATGCGGGGGTAGAAGTTCGGAGGAGAGCCACTAAATTTTTGCAACAGTGTACAAATATAAACACAGGGAACCACCATGAATTTGCATGGATGGCGACCAGACGCATCAAATGCTTGCTTGTTGTACCCATTAGGACATCACACAAGTGATAAACACTTGGTGACACAAAGTGCCATCATGCGGATGAGGTTCACCCGTAGAGAGGTCCCAGAAACTCGTTTCAGCTGTTATGGTCGCTTTTGTGGTCGTTATATTTAGGGCCCCCGGCAAAAGCCGGGGAGGGGGGGGGGGGCTTTAAATAACGAAAACTGCATCAAACAAATGGACAACTTACGCACAACAGATCTCATAAAATATCGTTATATAAGTAACCGGATTTCCCGCTAGATACTGGATACTCAGATACTGCATTTACATTTTAAAATTCGGCATTTCATTCATCACTGCTTCTCTACCAATTTAATCGTTTCGCACAAAACATTGTGAGCGCAGATGGAAGAGCAAATGAAGTTTCATTATAATTAATTATGTTTAGAAAACTGAACGCATGCTGGGCCATTGATTTCATTGAACAATGCGTTTTTGAGGGCATCTAGCTAGCACAGGTGGTTGCATTGCTGCAGACATCAACAAATGAAAATTATGTGAGTGGTTTCCCTTGACATAGGTCAAACATGGCTGCGTCTTTGGTGAAGTCCTTGTCGAGTGAGTAGTACAGCATTATAACCTTCATATTACGTTCAGAATTATTGTTTTTTAAATATACTTATTAAAATCAGTTACTCCCTGCAGCTTAATCTCCTCAGCATTAACTAGTTATACTTTGTCAAAGTTTTTGCCTACTACTCTTAACATTAAACCCACATCACGATTAGCATCGATTTCCCGTGTCTGAAAACCACAGCCTACTACAAACCCACGGATTCTCACAGTTATCTCCTCTATACGTCTTCTCACCCACTACCGTGTAAAAATTCTATTCCATATTCACAGCTCCTTCGATTGCGCAGGTTGTGCTCTGACGATTCTGACTTCTTTGATAAATCAGTTGAACTTCTTGAATTCTTCCGTGCCCGTTTCTATCCGGAACACATTCTACAAGGGGCTCTAAACAAAGTTTTAGCAATCACCAGGAGAGATGCTTTTCCTACCAAACGTAACTCCACCAATGAGGGACCTAAATTGATCTTGACTTTTCACCCTAACAATGTGGTTGCTTCCAAAGTATTCTTTCGTCATTTGGACATCCTCCGCTCTGATCCGGACACCAAGATTATCTTTAGTGAGAAACCTAGATTAGTTTACAGACGAGATCGCAACCTCAAAGACATACTTGTCCGAAGCCGACTCCCACCGATCCATACAGCACTTCCTCTTGGGACTACTCAGTGCTCACGCAGCACCTGCAAAACATGTCCTTTCGTTGTCCAGACTTCTTCGGTCGGTTTCCCTAATGGTTCTTTTCAAATTAGGGAACCTTTTACTTGCGAATCCCGCAACGTAATTTATGCAATTATCTGCAAACGATGCAGCATGGCATACATTGGGGAGACTGGCAGGAAGCTAGCTGATCGTTTCCGGGAACACCTCTCTGATATCGACAAGAAGACACTCAAACCAATCCCTCTTCATTTTAATAGCCCTGACCACAGCGGTAAAGATGACATATCTGTCACAGCATTAAAATCTTGCTCTGGCGATCATACTACCCGCCTCGCTTTGGAAAATCGCCTTATCCACAGCCTTGGCGTTCTTAGTCCAAGAGGTATCAATATCCAACATACCTTCATCTAAATAGTTCTAATCTTATTACATTTTAAATGTTAAATTATTTTATTTTTTATTTCATATTATTACCATATTCTATTTCTTATAAATATCATTTATGTATCATTAACACTTGCATTTCTTTTATTCCCAGTATTGTGACTATATTTTTTAGCCATCGTTTATTTTATTTTATTTCATTTATTCCGCATCACATTTTTTAAACGTCGCTCACGTCATCCCTTAGAGATCTACATACTCTCCATTCCTCTTTTGTGTAGTCCACTTGTGTTTGAAAAAGGCTGCCTGGCCGAAACGTTACGTTGTGTTGTTTTGTGCACGTTTTCCTTTTTCCTATTTTGTTGAGCTTTTTTTAGTCAAATTTCTCTGGAATTCATTGTATTAGCTTGACTGCAGTCACCCCCATAGTTTCACCATTTTTGGATTTTCACATCGACTGCGCCTGACCCACGTTTTTGTTTGTCACTGTGCATGTTTGGTTTATTTTCCGCGCTTTCGTCACTCAAGGTTACGTGAGTACTTTTTAATAAAATAAGTTTCTAAAATTTGTTTCCCTTTATATACTTTTGTGCCTAACCTGTGTTCTACTCTTCCCAAATGCCTTCTCACGCCTCAGTCATGACTAACCTGCGTTCTTTTATCACTATTGCTTTCAGTCTGATGCCCGCTGAGTTGTCTCTGACTGCTAAAAATCTCGCTTTCACCACGTTTAAGAAAACCAGCGTTACATCTCATCGGAATTTTCTACAACGATGTTTACGTTTAAAAATTATCCCGAAAGGTTTCGCCACCAAATTCCATCCTTCAGTAGGCCCGCCATCCTTGAACTACAGCCAACCATTGGCCAGAATCGAGGAGAAATGCGCTTATCTTCGCATGCGTTGCATACTAGATGCACACGAACGCCACCTCCAACAACTGGGCGACCAGATTGATATTCTGGTCTACAATCTACGAAGGCTCTTAACCAACAACAGGTTGGCCTATTTGATCATCCGCTCTACTATTCACACCACTAATCAGGAGTGGTATTCTTTCCTTACCAATACAAAGAAGAATAAAATGAACTGCCTCCGGCCCCCACAATCCTTTGGAGCACCTGCTAATCCCGCCTTAGCCCAAAACCTTGTTGTTTGCATCCCACCCGACCTACCCCTCTCCGATGATGAACGCTCACTCCTTAGTAAAGGCTTGAAATTTGTCCCTCTAAGACCACGTGCTGACAAATACACTCTCCTCCAGGATGCACACTCCTTCTATCGCCGTCTACGCCTGAAACATCATCACTGGGGTCAACCACCCGCCCCCACTGGGCCTATTGACGAAACTACATTTCTTTCAACGGCCAACAAATCCCGTTCACAGTGGACTCCTCCTGCTGGTAAATCTAAGGCGCTTGATCTATACATCAGCCACACGCTTCATACTATCCAACAGTTGGAACAAAGGCCTTTACCTAAATCCAACCTCTCCAAAGGTGAATGGCGGGCTCTCTCCTCCCTCAGAAAGAGGAACGATATTGTTATAAAGTCAGCTGACAAAGGGGGCGCTGTAGTGGTTTGGAGGAAGGATCTTTATATTGAGGAAGCCAGTACCCAACTCAGAAACCCCGTTTTCTATTCCGCAAGAAGGGACGACCCCACAGTCTCCAACAATAAGAAAGTCAAGGACACGTTACAATCATTTATTTCACAGGGTACTCTTCCTAAGCAGGCCAACAATATGCGTGTTTTTGACAGCCAACTTGGCAAACCGTGTATGTACTTGCTGCCTAAGATCCATAAGCCCAACAACCCTGGACGTCCCATTGTATCTGCATGCTCCTGTCCCACGGTGTATCTTTCTGAATTTTTAGATAGTATTTTCCAACCGATTGTCACCAGTCTCCCTTCATTTGTCAAGGACACCAACCATGCCCTCAACATTTTCGAATCCATCAGACTACTTCCCGGTAAAACCTATCATCTTTTCCTGATAGACGTATGCTCCCTCTATACGTCTATCCCTCACTCTGATGGTCTTAGAGCACTCCAGTTCTTTTTGGACAGAAGGTCCAACCCGATCATCCCTACTTCAGTTCTTGTACGCCTTGCCGAACTGGTACTGACCCTCAACTCTTTTGAGTTTAATGGTGAGTATTTTGACCAGATCAGTGGGGTTGCGATGGGCACCAAGATGGGTCCTAGTTACGCGTGCCTCTTTATGGGCCACCTGGAATACGAGGTCAGTTTATCATACCCGGGCAAGTTTCCGGAGGTGTATAGGAGATACATAGATGATGGCGTTGGTATCACCGAAATGTCCATGGTTGAGCTTGACCAATTTATTACTTACATCAACAATTTCAATCCGGCTATCAAATTCACCTCACTGATCTCCACCACTTCAGTTAACTTTCTTGACATCACGATTAGCATCGATTTCCCGTGTCTGAAAACCACAGCCTACTACAAACCCACGGATTCTCACAGTTATCTCCTCTATACGTCTTCTCACCCACTACCGTGTAAAAATTCTATTCCATATTCACAGCTCCTTCGATTGCGCAGGTTGTGCTCTGACGATTCTGACTTCTTTGATAAATCAGTTGAACTTCTTGAATTCTTCCGTGCCCGTTTCTATCCGGAACACATTCTACAAGGGGCTCTAAACAAAGTTTTAGCAATCACCAGGAGAGATGCTTTTCCTACCAAACGTAACTCCACCAATGAGGGACCTAAATTGATCTTGACTTTTCACCCTAACAATGTGGTTGCTTCCAAAGTATTCTTTCGTCATTTGGACATCCTCCGCTCTGATCCGGACACCAAGATTATCTTTAGTGAGAAACCTAGATTAGTTTACAGACGAGATCGCAACCTTAAAGACATACTTGTCCGAAGCCGACTCCCACCGATCCATACAGCACTTCCTCTTGGGACTACTCAGTGCTCACGCAGCACCTGCAAAACATGTCCTTTCGTTGTCCAGACTTCTTTCGGTCAGTTTCCCTAATGGTTCTTTTCAAATTAGGGAACCTTTTACTTGCGAATCCCGCAACGTAATTTATGCAATTATCTGCAAACGATGCAGCATGGCATACATTGGGGAGACTGGCAGGAAGCTAGCTGATCGTTTCCGGGAACACCTCTCTGATATCGACAAGAAGACACTCAAACCAATCCCTCTTCATTTTAATAGCCCTGACCACAGCGGTAAAGATGACATATCTGTCACAGCATTAAAATCTTGCTCTGGCGATCATACTACCCGCCTCGCTTTGGAAAATCGCCTTATCCACAGCCTTGGCGTTCTTAGTCCAAGAGGTATCAATATCCAACATACCTTCATCTAAATAGTTCTAATCTTATTACATTTTAAATGTTAATTATTTTATTTTATTTCATATTATTACCATATTCTATTTCTTATCAATATCATTTATGTATCATTAACACTTGCATTTCTTTTATTCCCAGTATTGTGACTATATTTTTTAGCCATCGTTTATTTTATTTTATTTCATTTATTCCGCATCACATTTTTTAAACGTCGCTCACGTCGCTCACGTCACCCCTTAGAGATCTACATACTCTCCATTCCTCGTTTGTGTAGTCCACTTCTGTTTGAAAAAGGCCGCCCGGTCGAAACGTTACGTTGTGTTGTTTTGTGCACGTTTTCCTTTTTCCTATTTTGTTGAGCTTTTTTAGTCAACAACATAGTTGCTACATCTAGTTTAGCCCCAATCGGCGGCCTGGGAGATACTCTCGGCGGTGGCGGTAATCGCCGGAAGTCCACAAATTAAGACGCCGGAAGTCCACACTTTACATGTGACCGAGCCCTGTTTTCGGCCGCCATAATATGTGCCCGTTATTCAGGGGATAGCCTAAAACTATATATTTATTTATGTAGGAAATTGAATTAACTAACACTAACAGAATATTTATGAATTAAACTGAAATCTCAACATGGCTCTCCTCCGAACTTCTACCCCCGCATTATGGCGGCCTGAAATATCCGTTCGGGGCTTAGTTATATTAAAAACTATGCCGGCTCAGTACAACGAAACAAATGCTTTAACAGGGTCTCAGCGATATGTTACTTGCAGACATGTTTCTTATGTTTCTGATTACCTGACAATTCTAAGAGACGCAACACTGCAGGCGATAATAACAGCGACCGTTGACACTTTCCATTGTCAGACTTTCTGTAGAGGAACAAATATGTAAAATGTGGACTTAGCAGACTTTCTGCGACGAAAAATCGCCGCAAATCTAGGATCGGCTCGGAAAAACGAAACAAATGCTCTAAGAGGGTCTCAACGATATGTTACTTGCGGACCTGTTTCTGTGACTATGCCTCACTGCCGACCGTATTCCCCACGCTGCTACGCACGGCGCGAATAGGGGCTAAGCTAGATGGCTGGAACTCACGAGCAGCAGCTACTGCATCTCCTGCAACTTCCTCCAATTACTTTGCTCGTGAGTCCCAGGCACCTAGTTTAGCTCCCCCGTCTGCAAGTAGCGGCGCGGGGATACGCTCAGTATTGAGTTTAATCGCGTTTTGCGCATGCCGACAAGCCTGACATCTACTGCTGCTAAATCCTCAATCGGAAGAACAGTATTGCTAATCTGCGTGGGAGCGCGTAGTCTACCCGCCATATCGCTTTCATCGTCTCGAAATTGTCAACGGTCGCTTTTATCATCTGCTACTATCATCTGCAATGTTGCGTCTCTTGAAATTGTCAAGTAATCCTAGTTTTGCCACAATTTGTTCCTTGGCAGAAAGTCCGCATTTTTCATTGGACTGAGCCCTGAACAGATATTTTAGGCCGTCATAATGGGGGGGGGGGGGGGGGGGGGGGGGGGGGGGGGGGGTAGAAGTTCAGAGGAGAGCCCTCAACATTTATTCAAATTAACTAGTCTGATTTGCATAATTTATGCAAGCAATTTTTTTAAAATTTGGAAACAAACATAACTAACATGAAAAATGTGGGTGCATTTTTTTAATGGATGAAGCTTTAATAAGTCCTAACATGTGTATTTTGGGAAGTAAGGCCCTTGAAGACATGTCTGGCACAAAGTTCCACTCATTTTCAACAGTCCTTTTCGCCAGTTTTTGGGCACAAGAAACCCCAGAAAAAAATCGATGTAAGATCACAGACAGAACACACCAAACTTTCTCAAAAGCCGTCAATCAAAAGCCCACATGTGCAAGAAATGCGAGAAGCAGTCTGATTGGCTGGTGCGAAAACCTGCCGGCCATTATCAAGGCTTTTATTAAACAGGGCCTATCGATCGGCCCAGCCGTACTTCTAGCTACTTTGCGGTGGGTCGATATTTCAGCCGTGTCGTCTCCAGAGGGTTAAATAACGTCTGGCTCGAATCGATGATGATAATTGTTGAGATTTTGAGTGATATTTTCAGACTGTCGTTGTGTAACCATCACAATCCATGAAGAAATGCGACCATCACTTCTAACTGAACTCGATATTCTCAGTTTTAACCAAATTCGGACTTTAAAAAAAATTAACTACAATCCTTACCTTATTATCTGCACAGGACTGCAGTTTACACCGGGCTGGTTGGTAGTTTGGTCCTTGTGACTTGTGATCTTGTGAGAACCAACTTCTTTGTATGTTACCTGGTATTTATTTGCCCTGTTGTCTTTTGCCATCCAGAATGAGATTTGATAAATAAAGAAGTATTGAAATTACAGCAGCTTAAAAATGCATGTCTGTGTTAAAGCTGACACACTGTCCTTTTGTCCATGTCCCTAGGCTGGTCTCTAGCTTGTAGTAGTCTAGTGGCTACTGCTGCATGTTCATTTGTGCACCAAACAATCATCAAAATGAAAAAGATGAATATATTACTTTCAAAGAGACAACATATACACCTTGTTTAAAACATATACTGTAATTAGTGTTAAAATGTCTAGCCACAAACAAACATTTTGTTCATATTTATTATCACTTCTTCTTCTTCTTTGTGTTCGGTTTCATATGCTCAGACTAAACCATCAAGTGGTTTGCCTCTATAAACTCGCATGTCAGCTGCAGGTTCTTCATGGTTCCCCACAGCTTGCTCTGCACACTTTGCTCTTGAGGCCAGGTGTCTTTTCGAAGTTATAGGTAGAGTGGGCAGGTCTGCAGAATGTGATAAGGTGTTTCTGGTCCAGTTTGACAGGTCCACTGTGGGGACTGTACAATCTTTATTTTACGCATGTGGTAGTTGAGCCTGCAATGTCCTGTTTGTAGATGGAAAATTGTTGTATGTTGCTTTCTGTTGAGTCTGCTGATGGGGTCTTGTGGATGTTTACTGTTAGTTTTGTTCTCTTCACAGTTCCTTGTATTTTCCTTCATTAAGTGTTCTGATTTCTGGTAATGACAATGAATGGGCGTGTTGTTTCTCTTTTGTTCCATTTTTTGCAAGTCTGTCTGCTAACTCATTTCAGTGAGCCGGGATCCACTGGAGATTGTTTTCTGTGAGTCTGTTTAGCTGGCAGGTCAGTTCACTCTTCATGTAGTCTCGTGGATTCCTCTGAGTCACCTGGAGGACTGACATACAAAGGCGAACAATTTTGCTGTTTTTAATTTTTTTTTTCCTCAAGCACTTTGGCTGAATCAATAATTGCTTGCTGCTCTGCTCTGAAGTTTGTTGAGAGTCTTCCGGAGGCGCATGACGTTTCTACTGTGGTCCCATCGTGCAGCATGATGACTTATCCAGCGCCTCCATTTTTTTCGGCTCTCTCCAATGATCCATCAGTGTATATGTGTGTCCATTCGGGTTTTGGATAACAGTTGTAGACATGTTCAAGGGTCTTTGCATGCAGTACTAGGTCACATTCTTCAGCCTTTCTGTCTATGCCTGGGATTGTTGTTGTGACTGTATAGTTAGGCTGTAGGTCTATTCTGTATGCCTGAATCATTTCCCATGTTGAAGAATCTTTAGAAAGGATGTCACTGTTTTTTGTGTAGTACAATTTTGATTAATGGTGAAAGCTCTGTCTTGTTAGTCAGTTTTTAGTTGTTGTTTGCTATTCTGTGCCTGGGGTTGTTGTTCAGTTCATGCATTTAAATTTTTCTGTAAGGGTAAGCACCTTTTCTTCCATTCAAAGGCTGAAGCTCTGGAGGCCAGAAGTTGCCTCCAGCTCAAGGATTGATCTGCTTTTCATACCTCCACTAAAGATTCTGAGACCAGTGTTCTGTATTTTATCCAGTTTGTGTAGGTTTGATTTGGCTGCAGTGGAGAATGCTCCCATGCCATACTCCAGTTTTGGTCGTATGTATTCTGTGTATACTTGTCGTACAGTGTTGGCATCTGCACCCCGCTGGTTCCAGTAAGTTTCTTCATAAGTCTAAGCCTCAGGGTAGCTTTCCTTTGGGTGTCTTCAATGTGGGGGCCCCAGGTTAGCCTTTTGTTGAATTTTACTCCTAAATATGTGTGGTTGACATCTTTTGGAAGGATGTTGCCTTCTAGGTACAGATCAACATGTTCTGGCTTTGTGGAAAGGAAGAAGAGAGTTGAGATGCTTTTCGTCTGGTTTATTGTGACTCCCCAAGAGTGTTTATTTCTTGACTGTATTTATAGCTTCCTGTATTCTTGTTTTAGTTGTTCCTATATGTTCAGCTTGGGTCCATATGGCTAGGTCATCTGCATGTAGGGCCTTGTGAACGTGAGTCGTGAACAGTTTTGGGAGGTCATTGATGAAATGTTCATATTATTAGAAGCTGATGACACATACCGCATTGTTTATGGCAAAAATAGCTATTTATATATTTATTTTGTCAGTGACATGCTCCCCAATTCTTTATGCGAATGTTTTATATTAATGGGTCAAAGCTAATTTTTTTTTTTAAATCAGCTTGCTAGCATTTAAAATTGCTTTCAAATATTTGTTATCAATAGGAAATTCTACATCATCCTAAGTTATTTATTTTTCAGAATTGTGCATTAATGCCCCAAAAGCTAATCTGCTGCCGAACTCGCCATGGCTAAAAGGTACTTCATCTTTCCAGTTTTCTACCCTGAGAAATCAGACGACATTGCTGAAAAAAAATCAGTCTCTCCTCCCTGCAATGAAGACTGGGTAACGTTTTTGTTACTTTAATTTCTTTTCTTTTTTTTTCAGCCAATGTTTACTTTTGCTTTAATTTTGTCAGTTTTCCAGATTCTTTGGATAGTTGGGGGGAAAAAAGAAGTTACATAAGTGATTAGTAAAATCATATTCCTTTAAAACTGTATTGTAGCATTATAATTTTAGTTCTGCTTGGTATTTGATAACCAGCTATCTCAATTTTAAATTGTTTTATATCATTAATAATGAGTAAACATTATATTTTTTCTTGTCATGCACCGTTTTACAAAATGTGTTCCGTCTTGACTTCTTTGAGACAGCTGTTTTCCTGGGAATTTATGGGTTTTTGATATAAAGTCTTTGGGCAGTGGCCATTACACCTGTGTAACAGTTTTGGTACTGGCTGTAACTGCATAGTGTGTAGACGTGGTGGGTAGAAGTATAACCTACCCCCCTCCCCCCTCCCCACCCCAGGCCATCTTAGCCAATGGGCCCACTGAGAACTTGCCCGGGGCCACACAAGCATAGGGGCTGCATGCAAATCAGTGGATGTTAAGCGACTAGCCATAAATAAAAAATATATTTGACGATTAAATTAATTGTTTGTAATATAATACGAAAATTTATTTCTCTCTCCTCTCTCTCATATGGAATGTTTCTTGATGTCATTCCCCATCTTTTCTCATAATGGAGCAAAGAATCTTACGGACACTGTTGTTGATTTTCTTAATGAGAAAAGATTCCACTATCAGACTGCCGTTGTCAGTCATACGATAATGCCTCAAGTATGCCTGGATGATTTACTGGATTGCAAGTGTGGATTCATCTATGTTCCCAGTGCTGGACACAGCCTGAACTTAGTGGAAGTAAAAGCAGCTGAGGGTTGTCTACAGTTTGTAAAACTGCTATCTCTTGAGGACTGGCCAGCATTATGTAGCTTCTTTGGACCAGCCTGATGTGAGGCACCACCTGTGACCTGGGAAACAGAGATGACTACACAATAGTGAGACTGCATTGTCCCACAGAACTAATCGGGAGGGCTAACCCGGTCAACAAATGCAAATATTGCAGCCATGCTGTAAATGGGCACAACGCAGTTACATCTGCAGATGAAGAAAAAATAACATTGTGAAAAGGCCCTCTTTTTTTTCTTCAAGATTTGTACTGGTCGACTGGGCTAACAAGAATTAGAACATGTGCCCAGATTCAAGCAGTCTGCATTTTAATGGCTCAAAAACTTGCTCCATTCTCTATTGTTAATACATACTTAGAATAATGTTTTGTTCTAAAGGACATGTAAAAAAATACTGTTATTTTTATTCTTTTGCAGTTCAGCACTGGACCACCGTTCTTTACTTCATACAACTTCAGTTTGTGCATCAACATACGAACGAAAGCTGTGGCGGGAACCCAGAGTCATAGACCGTTTTTATAGGCTTCACTGGGGTGCCTGGATCCGTACTCGGGGTGGAAGGAAAAAAAAGCTGTACAAAAAAACAGCTAAACACAGGGCATATTTGCAGCAGCATATTTTCTGTACTGCGGGTCAGAGTATAAAACTTAGTAGGTTAGTCACGGAACACTGGAAAGAGCCAAAGTATTTTGTGGACACACCATATGATCCGTACCATAAAAGAACCAACTGTAGTTTTTTCCCTAATTACCCAAAATTTTATCCTTAATGTACAATACAACTTCACTGCATTGTTTTGTAATCACATTTACACACAATAGAGATTGGGTGAAATTAGTAGAAATGGTGGGATCTGTGTAAAAATATTCTGCTGTAGCATTTCTCAAATAAGAATTTCATATGGCTAGTAAAATCTTTAAAAAAAAAAGGTTAAATCAACTAGCTTTGTCAACCAGATTTTCAAAGCTTATAAAATTAATATGATTTTATTATCAGGTGTTTTTTTCCCCATTCTATATGTCTGAAATATATATATATTGTGTACATTTTGGACAGTATTATTGTTAAGTCCTACAAAATATCTTCAAGTGAGAACAAGTTGGAACATGAGAAGTCAGATTGATGACAGTAAAAACATTATATAGGGAATTAAAATTGAGCGCTGGAAGGCAAACTGTTCTTGCCACGATATTGATGACAAAAATGGGAGTTGATTATAATGTGATAATGGTGATTATTGAGAAATTTGGATATTAAATTTGTTGTTGGCAATTTTCTGAAATAACATGCTAACAGTATACCTGTCTTTGAAATAAATATCTGTTTGGCACATATATGGGCAAGAAAACATTTTGAAGTTTTTGCAACATGCATGAAGTTGACAGTTTTTGATTTACGTGGCACAAGATTTGTTAACAAAAAAAATGTAATGTTTATAGTTAAAGGTGTGGTTTTCCTTTTGTTTGATTTTACTGTCTGTTCTATTACCATAATGTGGGAGATGTATGAAACTTAAGAAGCAAATAAATGCGGTATTGTCTGTTGAAAATATTGTAAATTTGTTCTGTCTTCTGACTGCACGGCACTTCACTACTGTTAGAGTGCTTCTTCTTCTTCTTGTGCCTCCTCCTCTTTTCTTCTTCTTCTGTATTTGTCCTTAAATGGTTCTTCTTCTTTATTATTCTTTTCTCTACTTCTTGAATGCCTTGCGGCGCCAGTGCAGGAAGACATCTCTGGAATGGACCCTTCTGGTTGCTTTGTATAAAATACTTTTCAGTGTCTCTGATGTTTCCGCAGTCCATACTCTACACGGTCGACCTCTGAATCTGTTACCATTGTATCTGTATAGCATTGCTGTCTGTGGTGCCCTGTATGATGCCAATCTTGTTAAATGGTTCGTTAGGACTTTATCTTGTGGTTTACAGCTAAGCTGCAATACAGGGTCCGACAATTAAGCAATGACGCTAATTCCATAAAAATCCAAATAATCAACAGTTGAAGATATAACCTGTATCTGATTCAAAGTAAGCCCCTTGTGCATTAATACAGCAAGTGGCACAATCTAACAAACACTGGAAAGATCTCTGTAGTTCTTTTGTTGTTATGGCCCTTAAAGTCGATGTTACGACCCCTTGGATGTCATCAATATCGTTAAAGAAGCATCCTTTTAATCGTAACTTTAATTTTGGGAATTTAAAGAGACAAATCTGGAGAATAGGATGGAAGGTTGAGAATACAAACTTGTTTTTGAGCCAAAATTCTTGTTTTGATGATGTCTCTTGGGCACAACCCGCTGATGTTTTTGGACATCAGACAACAAATGTGGTACAAACCGGCAAGCAACTTTTTTTCTTGCCAAAATCTTGCACTAAAATATTATGAATGGTCTCCCTATTAACACTAGATTCATCTGCTATCATCCTCACAGTAAAACAATGATCTTCTTGTATCCGTTCTCTGACTTTTGCAATGAGTTCATAATTACTAACATAAATTTGACATCCAGGTCTATGTGCAGTAGTAATCCTTTCCACACCACTTTTGAATCGTGAATACCACCTGAAATTTTGTGAACGAGATAAACAATTATACCCATAAACTTGTTGCATCAATTCAACTGTTTCAAAGGCGCTTTTTCTGAGTTTTCAAAAGAATTTAATGTTAGCTTTTAGCTCCGTGCTGGTTATGTAAAAATGCACTTCTGACTAGGTAAACAAAATGGCAGCTTGTTTGTTGTCTGTTTATCGAGCGGCGATGAAAAGTTGCCAAATCATAGATGAATGTTGCCCCTTTAGATTCCATGCTTTGCTTCATATATGGCATTTTTGTCTTGGCCATAATAAAATCAGTCTCATTACTTAATTGTTGGACCTTGTATTTCACTTTTCTGCCAACACATCTGATTTAAGTAAACTACTAATTAGTTGCCTTTTACAGTTTTGTTGTTGTTTCTAGGAAGAATTTAAAAACAGAACATCTCACATTTTCAGGCCCAGAAAGAGAGTGACTTCCTTTCCCATTCATAAATTGCCGTGTCGCAGGGCTTGTGCTATGTTGCAGGGGTGTCAAGCTTAGTGACCGGCCAACAACTCGCAGCACTGAAACATTCAGAACTAGCCCTAGCCCACCCCCTCCACAACCCCATGTCCCCCGAGAGAGAGCGGCCGATGTCACACGAAAGAGTGCAGCCTACATCAAGTTCTGCATGTTTTGATGTTTTGGGACCGTTAAAAGCGCTCACTCCTCTGTAATATAAAACACGCGATGCGCCGGCTGCTGACAACAATTAGTAAAATACAAGTAAATTTCTGGGGGGGGGGGGGGGAAGGGGTATCGAATTAAAACCTTAAAAGCATGACCAAAATTACAATAACTGCCCCATTGTCTTGTAACCTGTCAATACTGTTGTTAAGGATGCAAAGAGTGTTAAGCATCTGACATCATACTGCAGACAAAAATAGTGACATACCAAGTTTAAAAATGTCAGCCACACACAAGATTTTAATTTGAATCCACCTTGTATATGCTGTGCTAAATCATTACCTGACCACCCCCATGTAGGTTTCAGGGCCCCATTGTGGGGAAAACAAGAACAGACCTACTGCCTCCCCAACAAGCATGTCGTGAGAGTAGACTAACTGGGTGTTTCCTTCGAAGTCAAAGTGCATCTGCCTGAGAAGCAAGGAACCAACAGTCTGCATACAAATAAGTCAGATATGTAAAACGGAAGTAGTTGCATCATGTTGGACAGGCCCATTTGTGCTCTAATCTCCTTTATAGATCCGCTCGATGTGAAGGTGCTCCTCAAACGACTAATCACGCCCTGTCTGTGTTGATTAATCAAATTAGTTTTGCCCTTACTGGAATATTTAAGTTTGGCTGCTCCAGGTTTGACTTCCATATTCACCAACCTGTGCAAGGATACTGAGTACGTGCCTGTGTTTTGTTGCGATTTGCATCTCACATGTAATTAAGGAAATTGCTCTTGTTCAGTCTCTGGCCATTCATAGTAACCGGATTGACCAGATGATCTGCACACTCTCTGACTCCCTTACTCAACACAGTCAGGTTCTGAAACAAGACCAAAGTCCAAAAGTGGACAGGCAATTTTATTTTTCCTCTGACGAATGCAAAAAAACCAAAAAGAAAGGTTACCTTGCCACAGTTTAATATACCTTTCTATAGATGTGATATTCCCGCACCAGTCTGACACACCTGGTTAAATTTGAGTTAAAATAAGTCTTTTGAAATATTCTGTAGCCAATTAACCAGTCGTCAAACAAGCAGCTAATCATGAATGATTTGTGTGTCCTGATTAACCTTATTGTTTTTACTGGCTATAGACTGGACTATGAAAACAGTAACTGCTAACACCAAGAATGGAATTCAGTGGACCCCTACAAAACAGCTTGATGATCTGGACTTCGCTGATGCAAGATAAATTAAATATACTTAATGCGAGATCACAGCAGCTTGGTCTAAATATCCATAAAGGAAAGACAAAGATAATGAGAATAAATCAGGCAAATAGTAATGTGGTTTCTCTTAATAGCACCCCACTCCAAGACGTGGAGTCGTACACCTATTTAGGCAGTAATGTAGATAAAGATGGAGGAACTGATAGAGATATTAAAATAAGAATACAAAAGGCAAGAGGGGCTTTCATAGCACTAGGGAATTTGTGGAGGTCAAAAGAAATTAAAATAAATACTAAACTAAAAATTTTTAATTCTAATGTCAAATCAGTACAATTGTATAAGCCGGAAACATGGAGAACAACGAAGGCAATTACTAATAAATTGCAGACATTCATTAAGTGGTGCATGCGCAGAATAGAGGGAATAAAATGGTATGATAGAATAACTAATGTAGAACTTTGGGAGAGAACTAAACAGGCTCCAGTGGATCAGGAGATGAGGAAAAGACGCTGGCGTTGGATAGGGCACACACTGAGAAAACAGGAGAACAGCATAACTAGAATGTCATTGCATTGGAACCCACAGGGGCATAGGAATAAAGGAAGGCCAAAAAACACATGGAGAAGAGAGCTGGAGAATGAGGTTAGAAAGATTGGGAGGACATGGGGAGAGCTCCATGTAATGGCGAAGGATAGAACGACTTGGCGTGAGTTGGTTGAGGGCCTATGCTCAATTGGGGGATAGAAAGGCAGAAGAAGAAGAAGAAGATTAACCTTATCAAAAATAGACCAGACAATCAGCCAATAATTATCACCAGAAATGGGATTCATTAGACCCCACATGGCAACTCGATGTCTATACTTGACTGACATCATCCTTCTGTCTCCTACAAGAAGTCACCTGCAATACAAATTAAGAACACTCAGTGAAAGGTACAATTATTAAAAATGCACCAGAGAAAGACAAAGAAGCCAGCTACCTTGCGAATCTGGACTTCAATCTAGAGAATGATGCATTTTGGTTAGAACAGCAATGTAGACTTAGATGTGGTCCCAGACTAATTTAAAACTCATTCAGATTACATACTGCTTTACTTCAATTGATTTTGTATGAAATAATTTGCTCTCGTTGAATGTTTCTATAAAAAAAGATATTGTGATTATTGAGTGTACCGGTTGAATTAAGAATTGACATCACAGCACTCGGGGATCTCCTTCCCCATCTTCGGCAGTAAGAGAAGAGGTCTAATTCTGATAGCACCAGTAACTGTCTGATTCCAAATCCATAATCTATCACCGAAAAGATCACATAGTGAACAGCATTCTTTGATCCTGTCCACTGCTGCCATAAT